GGTAATGAGCTCCTGCACCTCTTTTTCTACAAAATTACCCCTGGAGATAGGAGTTTGTTTAGAAGAAGATGCAGCCTATTTCAGTAGCTCCTTCCTCAGAAGTCCCCTGAGTTGGGGGGGGGGGAGAGATTTATGCCCAGGGAACTGCACATTGGATCACTGCCTTGCTCTCTTCAAAATCTGATCTTAATTTTCATACCTTTCTCCTCTGTCCCCCCGTCCCTTAACGAAATAATTTTTTTGGGAAATCTGAATCATAATGACTAAACAACAGTAACTCTGCCACTATGGGCTGTTGGATAAGCTTCTGTAATCAAGAGGAAGATGTATAGCTAGAAGTTAATTGCACGGAGTGCACCACTCTTCTATACTTGATTCTTCAACAGTTCTCAGTGTGGTATCCACCAACCCCCCCCCCAATATGTGACCACAAGAAAGCAAGAAGTGTGTGGATGTGAAATTTCATGGCTTTAATGGGATGCTGTTTCCCAGGTGATGTCATCTACCTCCGTGCCACAAAAAGCTTCAGCTGTCCATTTCCACACATTGTGCCTCGATTAAAGGGACAGGACATTTTCATCCAGGCCTGTTGGCAACCCTACTTCTGCCACAAGTGAACTCTGTGCTGTTTTTCTTCAGGTGTCCTATTTTGTAGTTGTTTTTCTTTAAAACTTAAGCATGGTGCTAGGAGCACTGGTCTTGATAGTATTATTAGCAAATAAACATATTTAAAAGATGACTCCACATCCTCATTCTGCTGCCATTCTGATCCCCACCAAGCCAGAGTCCAACACAAGTGTGGACAGTATTTTGTTAAGGAAGACAGACCCCATCTACCTTAAATAGGTTTCCCCAGCTGTCTTGGGTTAAGCAAAGCCCTTTGTAGAGAATAAACCAAGATCTGGGAGTCAGTAGTACTTGTCTGAATCTTTGTTTGGCCTCTTGAGATAAAGAGACCATTATGGTAGGAAGCTGATAGTTAGTAGTCAAAGCAATGTATAGATTCTAATTTAGGAAAAACAACTTTTCCTTCGTTCCAGTACAACTGTGATACAACTTTCCAGTACAACTGTCTGTGGTGGGGAGGGTGGGATAAAAATTGAATAAAATAAAATAAAAAATAGATAAATATTATCTGATATAGTGCAAATGCTTGATAATGTTATGAATGTATTAGAAAAGAGTTTTCATAACTTCTTCTTCTATGTTGCCTGCACTTTCCTTTTACAAGGGGTTCAAGGCTGCTTGTCCTGTTTTCAGAAATACTAGGACTTGCATCCTAGAGATAAATTCCATGTTTGTGTTGTATTGTGTTGTATTTAATATATTATTGGATGGATCTAAGCCTTCAATAGTAACGTCAGTCAGTCAGGATGCAAGAAATCTTTACAGCTCCTTCAGTTATTTAAAATTCAGTTGTCCCATGGGTCAAAGAAGACATTTGGGTTTTTAAAGAGTTGGTTCCCAAGATCCTGCAGCACAGCCACACAGTAGCTGTGAGGAAAATAAAGGAGAGTGCAAACAGGCTTTGAATGCCACAGCTGGAGAAGGAAAGGCTCCTGCCTCCTCCATGCTATTTTCCCCTACAGAAACAGTGTGTGGAAGGGGAGTAATTTCCCCATCTTTGCTGTTCCATATGCACAGAATACCCCTCATGGAGAAGAAAAAAGGGGAAAATAATTCCAGATGGAAAAACGGCTTGAGGAGAAAGCAAGAGAAGTTTGGGTTCTCATTTTTTTAAAGACTGTTTCCCATCCCCACAGCTGCTGAGTGGTTGCACCAAACCATACCCCAGCTCTTTAAAAAGCTGAACATATTGCTTGGCCCTGTGTTTCTGTCCTTTGAGGCACTGAGCCCAAAACAGTTTCTAGTCTAGCTTGAAAACTCTAAGGGGCTGTGGCTCCCAGCTCAGGGGGGGGGGGGAATAGCTTGAGAACAGCTGTTGCCCTTGGCTCATTTTTTCTTAAAAGCTTTAAAATTCATCTAAAAATCTCCACAACCCCAAAGTGTTGAAAACCCAAGGGTTGTCCACTGAAGGAGGAGAATTTAAGAGACTTCCTGTCAACCGCGTAGGGTTTTCAAAGCAAGAGATGTTCAGAGGCAGTTTGCCACTACCTACCTCTGTGTAGTGACCCTGGATTTCCACAGCGGTTTCTAGAGTTGCCAGCCACCAGGTGGGGCCTGTATTTATCCCACCTTTACAACTGATCTCCAGGCAACAGAGGTCAGTTCTCCTGGAAAAAAATGGCTGCCCCCCAATCTCCATAGCTGGCAACCCTAGTGGTTTCCCATCCAAGTATTTACTAGAGCCGACCCTGCTTAGCTTCCGAGATCTGATGAGATCAGGCTACCTTACTACCCAGAGGAAAATTCCTGGTGGAATGGGAGGAGGTGAAAAGCAGGAGAAAGGAAGATAGCCAATGGAGATTTGCGGGGCAATTACTAAAACAGCCCTCAGTTTAACAACAGATCAAGTGAATTAAAAGTGCAGTTAGGATGCTGCCTCTACTGCCAACACAGCCATAGACTTGAGGTGAACATTACAAGCACATTCTTTGTAATTCTGTAAAGAATTATTAAAATTAAAATTGAAAATCTGAAAACAGTTTGATAACACTGAAAAGGAAATGAAGTTTCCAAAACAACTCAAACTGTGGAGTTCCTATTCATGCTAACTGGGGTAACTTTAAATGTGTACTTGGAGGAAGTTTCTCATTGGGAGGAAATAATGTGTAAAAGATGATGGATCCTGAAAAACTGCATAAATGCTCCAAAAAGAGAGAGAAACCATCGTAAATGGAGAGAGAAAAAACTAGAAACATTATATACAAAACAACAACAATGAACCCACTCTCTAAAATAGAAAGTCTACAAAGCACGTCCCAAAGTTGGTAGACTAAGGACTAGAGGACTCTTCTCTATTTCTATTTCTCTTAAGCCACGCAAGCAACTGCTTGTGGCAGCACAACGAGGATGCTGCTGATGCAAAACAGGAGGTGACAGGATTGCCTACTAGAGCTGTGCCATCAGTGGGGTCGAAGCTGCAGTGGCAGGTCCCCAGGGCTCAGAATACACTTGCTCAGTGATTTTGCGGAAGGAGGAAATGGGTGTACCTTGCTTAGGGTGTCAAGATACTTTGAATCTTGGTGAAACTGCTTAATGCTGCTTTGTCTTTCTAGGGTCCAAATCCAGGCCTTTTCAAAATGATCAACCTTATTAATATTTCTAAACTACCTTGTTTTATCCCTGAAGATACCACAAACTAATTTTCATCACTTGATTTTATCTAGACTTGATTAGTGTAACTTTTTGCCTTCTACCCCCTCTAAAGCCATTGGTATCAATTCTTCACTGTAAATATTACCATGAAGAAGAGATTGGATTTATACCCTGTCCTTCACTACCCCCTCCCCACAACAGACACCCTGTGAGGTAGGTGGGACTGACAGAGCTCTGACAGAAACTGCTCTTTTTCAAGAACAGCTCTTATCAGAGCTAGGGCTTGCCCAAGGTCATCCAGCCAGGTGCAAGTGGAGGAGTGGGGAATCAAACCGGGTTCTCCCAGATTAGAGTCTGCACACTTAACCACTACACCAAACTGGCTCTTCTATTTTCTCTTGGACAGGCTCCCCTAGCCTTATTGTATTTAATTTTCCTTTTTGTGTTTCCTCTAGACTGACTCCACTGTTTCTGTACTACTTTAAACAAAATAATTTTCTTTCTCATTTACTTTAGTGACTAGCAGTGTTCCCTCTAAGCTGAATTTTTTAGCCTCCAGCTCACACATTTTTGTCTCAGCTCAGGAAGGAGGGCTCCAGAGCAAACTAATTTATGCAGTAGCCAAATTGCTGGCTCACAACTTTCATGCCAGTAGCTCACAAAGTAGAATGTTTGCTCACAAGCCTCCCCAGCTTAGAGGGAACATTGGTGACTAGTATCTTGTACCAATCCCTCCCGAGCAACGAGGTACATTCTCCCCCCTACCCACCCCCAGTCTGTAGGAAGCACTTTGTTTTGGCATGCCTCAACCACGGAGCGAAAAGGTCAGCTAATAATCTCTTTGCCTTCCTCGACTTTCCGTACCTTTTCCTGTTTATACGATTATTTAGATTGTAAGTGTGCAGGCAGAGTTTTGTGATTAGTTTGGTACCGCACAGAGCCTTCTAGTTAGTCGTAATAAACTAGAACTCGTCGTTTCTGCGTATTCTTTCTGCTTCATTTTCAGACGGAGTACGGGCGTGGCAATGGGAGCTAAATTCTATCTGTATTGTTATGCACACCCTATTGAATTCCGGGTGGCTTACTTCCCAGTAAACATGCACGGACAGACCTAGGTGAGCCTTGACCCACGCCATATAAAAGCGGGCACAGCGAAGGAGGCCGTTTGCTTGTTATATACTAAAACTGCGGAAGCACAGTGCGCAGCCCTCCCTTTTTTTTTTCCCGGACAGAGAGAGACTCATTAGGTACGAGAGTGCGAGGGCGAGCCGGTGGTAAAGGTTACAGATAGCTGCTCTGATACAAAGCGAAATGCAAAAATCAAAGCATATGCACAGTTTATTCAGACGCAAGTCACACTTTTTAAAATTCCCAGGTAACACAAACGGTGGTAGGAGGACTGACGGATTTGGTCAGGAAGGCGGGCAGAGAGAGGACTCCACTGGTGCAAAGGTGATGGACAATAGCGGGGGAGGAGGTGCCTTTTTTCCTTCACGAGCAGAAAAGAAACACTGGGGGCAAAAGCCAAGAAATCGCTTGTCACAGGCTCCGCTCACCCCTCCCCAGAACAAGAAGACTACAACTCCCGAAACTCATTGGGGCAAGGCCAAAGCTCGTTTTCCGTTCTCCCTGCCGTCCTCCGTTCTCTTTGCCTATTGGCCGCGGAGGGGTCGTTCGTAGGCGAATGCGGTTTCGGAGACAGTTGGAGGGCGGGGGAGCTAACATGACCGCGGGCGGCGTGTGCGTTGTGGCGCCGGGCGGGAGCACGCGCTAGGCTGGCTCTCGAGGTGGACGGCGCTGCTCGGTGTCTGCGTGGTCAAAAGAGAGCCATGGCGCGGGAAAAAGGCAAGGTAACAGGCCCGGCGGGTGTGGGATAGCCACCATGTGGTGAACTACGAGAGGGGAATGAGTTGTTTCCCTTGTGTGTAAAATAAAACGGGGATATAGTGGCGTCTTAACTATTGACAGTTATTCACCGTAAGCTTTCCTGTTTTATTTTGCTGCTGCAGACTTAACAGGGTCGCTTGTTTGGGATTTCCCTGGCGGTGTTAGCCCGCGTTTTCTTATGCTTTTTTCCTAATGCTTTACACTTTTCTGGGGCAAGTGACGCCTCCGGACTTTTCCCCAAGCGGGCTGTGTTTCCTTTGTGTCCGTTTTAGGCAGGGGGACAGGAGGGGTGCTGAACAAAGTGGTTTCCTTTTCTCTCCCGAGTCGCTTCATTAGGCATCCGTGCAGTTGAAGCTTTCTGGTGTGTTATCTCTGTGGAGGATCACGCGCACGCGTGTACTTCTCAACAACTAAAAAGGCGCGCTTGGGACGGGGTTCCGCATCTTGAAAACAGTATAACTTATCAAAAGAGTAGCTGGCTGCTTCTAAAATCTAGCTATAAATTGTACGTGCAGTGGTGTTTTTTGAAGTAATTTTTGTGTAGAATGGAGATAACATCTAAACTGCTGGTATCGTGTTTAAATGTTTCAGTGTGATTGACGCTGGCCAGTCTCTAGTACGCAGGAAAGTCCCATGGAACTCGTAGTGCGCTGTAGAATATGGTCGCTTTATAAGAGTAAATGTAGGGTTTGAAGATGGAGTAATGAAGATTAGGGGTTAATGAGGAATACAGAATGGGGGTTAACAAGGGGGACAGAATATATAGTTTTATGGGGATTCAGGGAATGTTGGTAGAAAATGCTGTAATGTAAAACAGAGTGGGGGAATAGATTGGTATTGGAAGACGCAGACACTACTAGATGCAGGGGAGCAGCATGGGGGAATGAGAGAAAGGAGTCATTTGATAAGATGGAGGGTTCTTGTGGAAAGGCTTTACAAGGGCTGAGGTAAGAGGTAGTTTCTTGTGTAAATAATTAATAGTAATTATTGTATGGCATTGTGTGTAGAATAGCCAGGAGATCCTAAGATTGTCTGGCAGTCAGACATTCTAGCTCTTTATAGCATTCTGCACCACTAGGTGGTGAACTAGACTTGTTTTTTCAAGGCAAGAGACGTTTCAGAGGGGGTTTCCCATTGCCTGCCTCTGGATCACAACCCTGATATTCCTTGGAGGTCGCCCTTCCTAATACTAGCCAATTCTTGTGTAAAATAACTTGGTATTAGAGGTGAAGCATGTTGTTCTCTGATTTCCTTCTCACCATGTGGTCTGATTAGAACTTGGGAGATCTGTGCTCAAATCCGGTTCACCTATGAAGTGCTCTTAATTTTCTTAATCAGAGACAGAGTGGTTGGCATAGCCTATCTGATAGGCTTGTTGTGAGAGTAGTAAAATGGGAGCAGAAGAACCATGAAGGAACCATGAGGAAGGTCAAGATAAAAAGATAATGCACAAAAATGTAATTACATGTATGCATCCTTTGTGTTAATTAACCTAAAATTACTATTCTGATTTAATATTCACAGGCACCAATAGAAATATCAGTTTGTCTGTATGCCTGCTTTAAAGTTCTGGAAAGAAATCTGTACTCTTACGAATCAAAACAATTTAATAGTAGTATATCAGGGCAGTTAAGATCTAACCGGTCTGCATGAAGATCAGTTTCTGTTGCTTTGCAGGTGTTGGTGAACAGAGCATAGTATGGAGGCTTCAGTGGGTGCTTTGAAAAATTGTCTTTGATTTAACATTTCAGTTCGTCCAGCAGTTCCAGCCTAGGAAAGGCTAGTTGTGTAAAAATAGGCTGGTAACATCAAATGTGGTCCTGAAAGAGTTTAGGTCATGGTTTTCCTCCTTAATACACTACCCCATGGGTATGCTAGAAGTGTTCTATATTGCCAGCCTTTTCTTTAATCAGAGATCCAAGCTACTTCTGAGTAATGAACACTCTCCCTTACTATTCCCCACCCCCATCATGTCAGCAAGCTTTCCCTGTCTTAGAAACAGAACATGAATTAGGAAGAGCACCAGAAATAAAGCTATCAGATGAAGAGCACAGAGAAAAAGCCCATACTGGATCTTTTCACAATCTTTTCCTACGTCTTCTAGGGACAGCATGAGGCAGCGGGTGTTTGGTTGAGGCGGCGGGCGTCCCTCCCTTTTTCCTGACCAGCCCCCCACCAGTGGCCTGGTTCTAATTTGACATTGGGGCACCACTGTTATACTCAAATATGACTGACACCTGAACAGGCTATTTTACATGGTAGTTGTGATTTTATGATTTGTGATTTTATGTTGTCTAAATTTGTCTAATTTTATGTAAACTGCCCTGAGCCCGCTCTCGGGGAGGATGGATTATAAATAAAATAAAATAAAAAATGACCTTGCAGCAGCCCATACAGCAGCCTGTTTGGATATCCTTGTTGTTGGGAAATACTTTCAGTTTGTGTGAAGTATCAGCTAGTTTTAAAACTGGGCTGGTAATCTAAATGAACTGAAATTTAATGATGAAATGTTGCCAAGAATTTTCTGCAATGGTTAGGGGTTCCAAAGCTGGAGGGTGTTTCAGCAGGCAGATCAATATGGAAAGTATTTATGGAGGGCAAGATGTTTCAGAACACTAATATGGTCTTTTTCTCTGCGAAGAAAGGCAGGTTAGTGTAATTGTACAACATTTTGGATTCTTCTAGCCTAAGTATGATTGTGTGTGCGTTGATTTGTTTTTAGTCATGTTTATGTTTTCTTTTCTGTTTGTAAACTAATCCTTATTGTAATTTTTTTAATGTTTGTCACTGTAGTCTGTTGTGGTAGTTAATTATGGCCCCGGTCACACGGGCAGGAAACTGCGGGGGAGAAGCGTGGCTGTTTGCCCTGGGGCAAACTACTGCACAGTTACTCGATCAGACCTCCCGTGGAGGTCCTGTGTCTGTTGTGGTAGTTAATTATGGCCCCGGTCACACGGGCAGGAAACTGCGGGGGAGAAGCGTGGCTGTTTGCCCTGGGGCAAACTACTGCGCAGTTACTCGATCAGACCTCCCGTGGAGGTCCTGTGGAGGTACCGTGGAGGTTCCATGGCAAGGGAGAGGTGCTGATCACAGGACAAGCCGGCGCGCAACGAAGAAGCAACTGTTTTGTTTTTGTGTGTACACGACGAATGCGCATGCTCCGTTGGGTGTGTGTGCGCATCCACAGAGAGGTGGACAAAAAAACCCCACCTTATTTGCAAGGGGACATGGGCGGGCGCCGGATGCCACCGGAAACGCGATCAGACGCCCACCCTTGCCCCGCAGTTTCCGGAAACTAGTACCTCCGAGGTACTAGTTTTTTGCCACGCAGTTTAGGCTGGAAGCCTCGGTTGTGCCACGGGAGTGCTACGCTTCCCAGATGTGCTGGTGAGATCGCGCCCGGAAACTCCGGCTGTTTTCCGTCTCACTTGTGTGGCTTCTGTTCCGTGTGACCACAGCCTATGGTGACTTTCAGTACTAAAAATTGTGAGGCATTGAATAAAAAATAGTGAAAGGAGGTGCGGTTTCAACTTATTTATTGTTTATCTCACCTTTCCTCATCTTGCCCTAGAAACTGATGGAAATGCCTTGAGTCATGTATTTCAGTGGTTGCTGTAAGGGTACAATGAAAATCTGAGGAATCTGTGAAGAAGGCTATACTGTGTATGTGTGACCTGTCCAAGCCCAGCCCATTGGGGGGGGGGGATTTGACCTCCCTTGCTCAAGTCTACCATTCTAACCCAGACACTTTTCTTCCTCCTCCATCCCACCTCTCCCCAGAATTTGTGTGCACTGTATGGAACCAGACTTCCTGGAATTCCACTCTGCCTTCTGCCTGCCTTTCTCTGCAAATTTGGTTACCCCTCCTGAAGTTTTAGGAAAGCATATTGGGAGGCATGAGAGACCATCAGTAATGTTACTATCAGGAAATCAGGATAGTAATCAGGAAATCAGCACACCCTCCCGCAGACTGTCATGCTGAGGTAGGCGGGACAATACGTCAGCCAGCGAGTTCGCTTTTCTGGGAAAGTGGTGGAGGGTGAAATTAAACTTGGAAAAGAAATCTGCCCACCGCAACTGCTTGGCGTTGAGGTTGTGGGGCATCCATAAGACCTCCAAGTTCTTATGGTCAGTCCAGACTTCAAAAAGTACCCGTGCCCCCTCCAACCAGTGGTGCCAGGTCGAGAGGGCTAACCTAATCACCCCTGCTTCCTTGTCCCACACTGACCAGTTGCGCTCTGTGTCATTAAACTTGCGTGAGACATATGTAAAGGGGTATAATCTCCCATCCCCCCCCTTTTGCAAGATGGTGCCACCCATGGTGACATCCGATGCATCGACTTGCACAATAATTTTTTTATTTTCATCTGGATGGGACAAGACAGGCTCTGACGTGAATAGATTCTTTAACTGATCAAACGCCTCCTGGCACTCGACCGACCACGTCAGGATAGTTATGAACTACCAAAAAACAGAATACTTCTTATGAAGAGCTGCGTGGTGTGATCTGACTATAGAACCTGACACAAACCCCTCCTTTGCTAATGGTCTGCAAAAGATATTTGAATTGAGTATCTTTTTCCTTCCTGTCATGCTGTTTTACTGCTTATGGGTGTTTCAAACTCTGGTCTGTCATACTGCTAGTTGGAGTTTCCTGTCCAGCGCAGAGCTTCACCCTTGGAAGAGATGGACGAGGATGAAGAGGAAGAAGATGACTTGGATCTCTTTGGGGGTTATGATAGTTTTCGACAGTACAGCAGCAGCGTGGACAGTGACAGTACCTCCTGCCTGGAAGATTCTAGTGAGAATGAAACTGCAGATCGAGAAGCCGGGGAAGTGCCTGCATCCCCAACACAAAACCAGATACCTGCCGGACGATTACCAGATGATAATGGATCAGAGCCAGGTACAGGTTTGCCCTTCTGCAGCGAAGAAAGTTTGTAGCTGAGAGACTGCAAGGCAGTCTTACTCTGCCTTGGGTGAAATAGGAGCTGCTTAATGGGATTTAATGCATTTGGAGGATATGAGCCAAAAATTAAATGGCAGCGTTGATTTGGAGATTCATTTTTTTGGGGGGTGAGGCTGCCCAGATGTACGATATTACATGGAAGAGCTCCTGTATGAGCAAATGTGAAACAATTTGGATCATTAATTGCTTTTTTGTCTGTCTCCAGCAGATTCCCTGATCTGTTTCAAATCTGTAGAATCCTTTTCCACACAAGGGTAATTTTAAGCAAGATGTAAGAAAAAATTTAAAAGCCTTATTTGTATATATTTTATGAGATGTTTTTAACAGAATTGTATGTAACTTCCTGTCATACAATTACTGTTCTAGTATTGAATTGCAGTTCACATTTTTACTGTTGTAAAACTACCACTGAACTCTAACATGCACTGAAACCATTTCTAACTAAAACCCATGCAATTAATTATACTTGAAATCACCTATATGTATAGTTTTGCAACCAGAGTTGGTCCAGTGTTAGATAAATAACTTGTAAGAACGCAAGAGAAGCCAATGTTGGAGGACCTCTGCTCCATATGCTTATCTAATTCCCTTTTGAAGCCGTCCATGCTTGTAGCACCCACCACTTCCTGTGGCAGTGAATTCCATGTGTTAATCACTCTTTGGGTGAAGAAGTACTTCCTTTTATCCGTTCTAACCCGACCGCTCAGCAATTTCATGGAGTGCCCACGGGTTCTTGTATTGTGAGAAAGGGAGAAAAGTACCTCTTTCTCTACCTGCTCTTTCCCATGCATAATCTTATAAACCTCAATCATGTCACCCCTCAGTCGTCGTTTCTCCAAGCTAAAGAGCCCTAAGCGCCTTAACCTTTCCTCATAGGGAAAGTGTTCCAACCCTTTTATCATTCGAGTTGCCCTTTTCTGCACTTTTTCCAAAGCTATAATATCCTTTTTAAGGTGTGGTGCCCAGAACTGCACACAGTATTCCAAATGAGGTCTCACCATTGATTTATATAGGGGCATTATTATATTGGCTGATCTGTTTTCAATACCCTTCCTAATAATCCCCAGCATAGCATTGGCCTTCTTTATTGCAGTCACACACTGTCTCGACATTTTCAGTGAGTTATCTACTACAACTCCAAGATCTCTCTCTTGATCAGTCTCTGCCAGTTCAGACCCCATCAACGTGTATTTATATTTAGGATTTTTGGCTCCAATGTGCATCACCTTGCACTTGGCCACATTGAACCCCATTTGCCATGTTGACGCCCACTCGCCCATCTTTGACAGATCCCTTTGGAGTGCCTCACAATCCTCACTGGTTTTCACCACCCTGAACAACTTCGTATCATCCGCAGATTTAGCCACTTCACTGCTTACTCCCAACTCCAAATCATTAATGAACAAGTTAAAAAGCAGTGGACCAAGTACTGATCCCTGTGGTACCCCACTGCTTACCCCCCTCCACTGGGAGAACTGCCCATTTATACTCACTCTCTGTTTTCTATTAATTAGCCAGTTTTTGATCCATAAAAGGACTTGTCCTTTTATCCCATGATTTTTGAGCTTACTTAGGAGCCTTTGATGAGGAACTTTATCAAAAGCTTTCTGGAAGTCAAGGTAAACAACATCTGTTGGTTTCCTGTTGTCCACATGTTTGTTCACCCCCTCAAAGAACACTAACAGTTTAGTGAGACAAGATCTTCCCTTACAGAACCCATGCTGAGTCTGCCTAAATAGTTTTTGTTCATCGATGTGCCTACTAACTTGCATTTCATCAGGGATCACTTACACAATCCTGGTCAATATTCCATGCTTATCTTCAGCCTGGCACTAAGATGGGATGAGATGTATGGAATTACTAAGGGCCAGAAGATTTGTCTGCAGTGTGACTGAGAACTTAGGGCAGATAATTGCCACGGCTGCCTCTGAAATCATACCTGTAGTCCAGCAAAGAGATCAAGACACACCCAGTGGTGTACATCAGGCCAAATTCACATCACCCATTCCTTGTTACCACCTCCAAGGTGGTCTTCCAGAAACTGTGATGTGTGAGTAAAATTGGATATAGTGTTTGGATTACAACTGGGGCAGTCCTCATTGCCAGAAAACTGGGTAAAGGCCTTTCCTGGGCTGATGGGTGACTCCTTGTATGTAGGGAATAAAGATAATTTTTCATAAATGTAGCTGACTCTGCCTTGCAACAAAGGATTAAACTAGTATCAATAAAGACAGTCCACATGGTAAGCAGATTACAGGTATTATTTATTTATTTTATTTTATTTTATTTATTAAATTTCTACCCCACCCTCCCAGCCAAGGCCGGCTCAGGGCAGCTTACAAAAAACAACATTTACAGTGTACATAAAATATAAGTTAGACAACAATAGTTAAAACATTTAAACAATTCTAAAAGCAATTAATCCTAAAAACATGATAAAGTGCTAGTATTGCTAATTACACAGCAGTTGTTCTCTCTTCTCTCAGTCAGCTTCTTGTTCTCCTTAGACCATCTCAGACAGACAGCTAGGTCCCAGGGAGCCCTGTCAGTTGTTAGCAATGGCGGTGGCTCCAAAAGCCTGGTGGAAGAGCTCTGTTTTACAGGCCCTGCGGAACTGCAAAAGGTCCCACAGGGCCCTGGTCTCTTCTGGGAGCTCATTCCACCAGAATAGAGCGGCCACCGAGAAAGCCCTGGCCCTGGTTGTTACTAGCTTGGCCTCCTTGAGACTTGGGAGGGCCAGCTGGTTCTGGGTCCCTGATCGCAGTACTCTCTGGGGTACATGTGGGGAAAGGCGGTCCCTCAGGTATTTAGGTCCCTGGCCATAAAGGGCTTTAAAGGTAAGAACCAGCACCTTGAAATGTATCCGGTATGCCATCGGCAGCCAGCGCAATGCTTTTAGCACAGGCTAGATGTGCTCCTGGATAGGGAGTCCCATCAAAAGCCTGGCCGTGGCATTTTGCAGCAGCTGCAGCTTCCAAACTTGAGACAAGGGTGGCCCCATGTAGAGGGCATTACAGTAGTCCAGTCTTGAGGTGACCATAGCATGGATTACTGTTGCCAAGACATTGCGTTCAAGGAGGGGAACCAGCTGCCTGATCAGCCGAAGGTGATAAAAGGCTGATTTGTCAGTGGCTGCTACCTGGGCCTCCATTGTTAAAGAAGCATCTAGGAGCATTCCCAGACTCCTAACCTCTGGCGTTGGCACCAAAGGTGCCCCATCAAAGGTCGGGAGTGGGATCCCTGCCCTTGGACCGCCTCAACTCAGGCACAGGACCTCCGTCTTCATCGCCCTCCCCTGTGGAACAGGGCTCAGTGCAGTGTACATCAATAGGGAACATCTAGGGAACATACATATTTGACATTCAGAATTAAAAGCAATAAAATACAGTATTTAACCCAGGCATTATAAGATTGTACAAAAATGCTCTTTGGAAACTTCCATGTAATGTGTGTATACAATATGAGGATTCTTTCCTGGCAGTCGCTATTAAGAGATGCACATTCTTCTTGGGCTCCCTGCTTTTCAACTCAAGCAATCCTATCAGTTTTCTATCTGGTTTGATTGACACTTTGGATAACCAGTGCAATAACTATATTTCACTGATTCTCTTAACTTCCTTGGGTGTGACTCCGGGATCTTCAAGTGCATTGTGGGTACTGCTCTTGCTCTCTTCTCTCTTTAACCCACAAGTTCATGTGCCAAAGTAACAGTGACAGCAGACAGCCTGCAGGGATTTAAAACTTTTGATCACCCCCACCCATTTGCTTTGATTTCCTAGCTGCTTTATGCTGTTGGGCTTTGCCCCAGTCTTAGATTGGGAGGATGCAAGCAATTTTTCACTGCTTTGAGGAATTGTATCCTATTTTTGATAATGCCCGATGTTGCCTTGTGCTTTCCTGTATTTTTAATATTGCAACTCTGAGCTTGCTGTTGACAAAGCTGTCACTTCCCACTGCTGAGGCTTGTTATGTTTATGCTCCCTCAGCTATCTGTGAGATGTGTGGGATTGTGGGCACAAAAGATGCCTTCTTCTCAAAGACCAAACGTTTCTGCAGCGTCTCCTGCTCCAGAAGCTACTCTTCAAATTCCAAGAAGGCCAGCATCTTGGCTAGGCTGCAGGTGAGCAATAAACACTCAGACAAGAATCTAGAATCCAAGGATGCTGAGGCTGTTGGGAAATATGCCCACCACTTGCTTAAACACAGGGGTAAAGAGAAATGATTACATTATTTGAAGATGCTTTTTTCTGTAACAGTAAACACAACTAGGTATTTGCTAGGGACATCTGATAAGCTGTTCTCCCCGTAAGCAGGTCTTCAGACGTTAGATATCCAATAGGTGTCTTGAAAAAGGCAGCATCAAACAGATCTTATTTTGGAGGCATTTGGGAGCTGTTTTTGTATAGGAGAAGGGGATTAGATTGAAGAACTCTTAATCTCATTCAACCAGCTGCATCAGTATACTACAGCTCACTTGACATGGAATAGTTGTCCTTTAACCATTGTCTTGTATTTGTAGGCAAGGGTATTAAAGAGTAGTAAGCTAGTAGTTTTTTTTTCTGTATGCTTTTCAGTACGTGTTTATGTGGAGTAGAGTTTGTTTAATCCCTGCTAGTAGTTGTAATTAGGGAACCCACCATAGCCACACAATAAAGCAGGTCTTCTGTAAACTACAGTAATTTGGAGTACTGACTTGTATCTATAGTAGAAGTTGCAAGGGTAGATGCAGCGGGGGTGGTTGATTTTAAATTTGGAAGAGAAGGGTGTGATCATTCAGCAGGCACCATTTATATGAATGGTGACAAACCATAGAACCAGAAGTTGTAAGGGGAAGGATGTTGATGATGGATATAATCTAAGAATAGAAGAGTGGGTTACAGAAGAAAGGAGATTCTTGGGTAGAAAAGTGAAGGAATGCCTACATGATTTCCTCCCCCTCCCCCAATATTCCTATAGAGTTGTCTGCTATATACATTTAAGATTTACTAGCCCCTCAGAGACAGACGTTTTTCATCTTGTTAACTGTAAAACCATGTTATTCTGCATCCCCAGGTATAAAGGCAAGGCTAGTCAGTCTTGCACATGCAATGGTTCATCTTACAAACTTAACAGAATTTCACACCTGCCTTCTTAATAGGAATGCAAAAAGAGTCTTGTGGCATCTTAAAGACTAATGTGTGAGCTGTTACGTTGTGAATTTGTGAGCTTTCATAGACAAGGGTCTGTCTTATCAGATACATCTGACAAAGCAAGTTGTAGCCATCTGAAGTTTGTGCTGCAACATGTTTTCTGCCATTTAAGGTGCTACTGGACTCTTGCATTGGTGTCAAACAGATTAATGAGGACTACTCTTCTGGAATGGTGTCCCTTTGATTTGGTGGTCAATGATGCAATCCCGAACAGAGTTGCATCCTGTAAGCCCATTGATTTCAGTAGCCTTAGAAGGGTGTAACTCTGCTTAGGATTGCAATGTTACTTTCTAAAGACTTTCATGAAAGGTAGTGAGGCTTGTCTGCTCCTTACTGAGCTGTTCTGAAAAATCTGTGTTTTTTATGCTTTCACAGGGAAAACCACCTACAAAGAAAGCAAAAGTCTTGCACAAGGCTGCCTGGTCTGCTAAAATTGGGGCGTTCCTTCATACACAGGGGACGGGTCAGCTTGCAGATGGAACTCCAACTGGCCAGGATGGTAAGTGTGGACAGCAGGTGGAGGAAATAAGAGATTTCTTTACTTTAAACAGCAAAATAGAGGGCAAGTCACAACTCTGCACAGAAGGTTTTTTGTCTAAATAACAGCTGGGGGGAAGAATGAATGGATAACTGATATTGACTCACAGGTTGCAGGTAGCCACATTCACCCAAAGCAAAGTCCCCAAACCACATAATACCTTTTAAGACCAACCAAAATAATGCACAGTTGTAAGGAAGCTTTTGAGTTCTCCAGAACTCATTATCAGGATGTTAAAAAAAAAGGGTTGGGGAAAATCTTCTGTGTGCTTTAATGTTAACCAAGACAGTCTCCTGATTAGAATCCCTTCTTATGGCTTTTAAATGTGCCTAAAGGCCCCCCTCCCCATGTGTTCATTATTGTTGTTGTTCAGTTGCACAGTCGAGTCCGACCCTTCGCGGCCCCATGGACCAGATCACGCCAGGCCTTCCGGTCTTCTGCCGTCCTCTGAAGTTTGCTTAACTTCATGTTCGTTGCATCTGTGACACTGTCTAACCATCTCATCCTTTGCCGTTCCTGTCTTCTTTGACCTTCAGTCTTTCCCAGCATCAGGGTCTTCTCCAGTGAGTGCTCCCTTCTCATTTGGTGGCCAAAGTATTTGAGCTTCAGTTTCATTATAGTAATGGGTAAAATTTCCAGTGCCTGAATTTGTAAACGCCTCCCTGTGGGGAATGCAGTAATCTAATACAAATCCTCCAATGATGGCTGCAGGTGGAGAATCCTCTCCTGTAGGTAGTGGTGATGACTGCAGAAGCTTTGGCCCTTCAAGAGAGGGAAACACTTGATTTCATCCCCTGAGTGATAGAGTCCTTGCCCCTATTCCTAGGAAAAGGAGAGAGCTTCATTTTCACATTAGCCTGATGGGGCCTTTCCCTCTGTTCTTTGAAAGGGCTCACAGACCCCTTGGAGTACACTTGTAACCCTTGGACCCCAGTTTGAGAAATACAGGGGTAGAAATCTTTTCTTGGTCTCTTCTTACGCTTCAGTTCTGTAGGTATGTATGCAGGGCAAAATCTGTAGGGTTAGCTTCTGAAAGAACACGCTAGTCCACCTTACACAGTAGCAGAGATTGAGTCTGGAACCTAGCACATCTGGTAGTGCTCTTCTGTTTCGTATCTGAGTCAAAAAAGGAGCTCTTGGAGAGTACACTTATGTGGCCTAATTGGGGTTGTTCTTCTTTGATGTGAGAACTCTCATTTCTCCCTCTGAGAGGAGGACATCTTGATGGGTGTTTCCCACCCTATCTGTAGGGAGGCAGGAACCAATAATCTTCAACTTCCTGTCCTCTTGGTGGGGAATGCCCATCTCCTCAGTTCTGTTCCTGCCTCAGTAGGGAGAGCAGCACAAAGTTAGGCTTATGCCTACTTTCACTTCTGTTTCTGCTTAATAGCTCTTTTTCCTTCTCAACTACAGTATTTCCTCTGCATCTTCTATTCATTTCCCCCTCTCCTGGGTCCTTCTAACTCACACACACATCCCAGCTATATCTGTCCTCCCCCCCCCCCAACTTCTTCTCGTCCCTCTGGCTGGAGAGAGAATGAGAATGGCTGACCATGAGGGCTCTGATGATTTCCTCTCTGAAGGAGAGAGAGAAGCCTCTTTTGCCGTGGAAGACGCGGCTACCGTGCCAGAGAAAATGGGCACGACAAAATCTGCCTCCTTAAAGTCCAAAGCCACACCAAAGGACTCATTCTCCGCCCGTGCCTGGAGCTGCGGGCACCATCTTGGATTCTCGGAGGCCCTCGGAAAAAGAGGGGGAAGGCTGCAGGGCGGCTACGTCCACTTCCATAAGCCAGGGCATGAGTGCCGACAACGGACAGGAGATCCCTAATGCCCAGATCGTGACTTCTGAGACTGCAGGAGCGACAGACTTACAAGCCGGCTTACTTGTGAGTAACCCTGATCAATGGGGAAGTTCCATATCTGCTGAGCTTATGCAGTTCTTAAGACAGACTATTAGAGAGGAAGTAGCCGGTATCTGTCACCCACGCCTGCTTGAAGGTGGTTCCCAATCCCCTGGCCATTCCCATAGAGGTTGCAGGTATGAGGAATTAGAAGATAGACCCATACCTGATCAACATAGACCCTGGCCAACCAAGGCTGCCAGGAAGGAGCATTGCACCCATAAGGGAAATCATTCTCATTGGGATCCATTACAAGATGAGGACAGTGTAATTGAGGACAGAGAGGAGGGGGAATTCTTATCAGACGAAGGGATGGAGGAAGAACTAGGAGTCCCCACACCTTCTATGAGGTTTTTTAAACCAGAGGATTATCCATATCTTCTTCAGAAGTCCCTTACTGCCTTAGAATTGCAAGTCCCTGCAGAGGCCCTTTGCACCTCCAATCCTTCTGACGAATCCAGACCTAGGGGGAGCAAGGATTATTTCCCCAGAACACCTGGGATGGAAAAAGTTTTTCCTTTTCCTGAATTTCTGGAAAAGCAACTCAAAAATGAATGGGCTAAACCTATGGCTAATAGGCATTGTCCTCCTAATATTAAAAAGTTTTATGCCTTACCATCTTTTGCCAATAAGTTTCTACAGGTCCCCCTAGCGGATGCTTCTGTAACAGCAATTCAGGCTGCCGGCCTGCTTTCTGAAGATGGGGACGGCTCTGTTAAGGACTAGACAAGAAGGCAGAATTTGCACTGCGAAAGGCACATGAGGCCACAACCATGGCCATTAGCGCATTAGCCACAGCCACAATTGCCTGGTCCAGGAAAATGGTTCAACTCATTCCTGAATCTAACAAGCATTTGGCAGAAGGTGCTAACAGACTGCTTAAAGCATCATGTTTTTCTGTGGATGCTACTTTGGATTCTATGATTTTTTCCTCTAGAGCTCTAGTATCCACAGTGGCGGCGAGAAGAACGCTCTGGCTGCGAGTTTGGCAGGCAGACCCTCACGCCAAGAACATAGTCACAGCTTACCCCTTTCAAGGGGATCGCTTGTTCGGGGAATCCCTGGACAAAATACTCATAGAAACCAGGGACAAGAAAAAGGCAATGCCTAGATCCTTAGGCAGACCAGCCCCCTGAGATTCTGGCAACCCTTTCGTTCCCAAAGACACACCCCCCCCCCAAGACTTAACAGAGACTTCAGACGACAGTCTTGGGGAGCAAATAGACAAAAATTTTGAAGGAACACCTTCTACAACAGAGACGATAAGCCCGGAAGAGACAACAAGTCCTCCAAGGCGTGACTGCTGGTCAGCACTGGTGGGGGGGACGACTGCTACTGTTTCATCAAACCTGGATCCAGTCCAACGCAGATCATTGGTCTCGGGAGGTCACCTCCAAAGGTTACTCCATCGAGTTTGTCACAAGACCCCCAAGCCGATTTGTTCTCTCACCAGTAGCGAAGAACTGAATCAAGCTTCATCGCACTCTAGACGCCATTCTGCACCTTCTCTCAATTCAGGCCATAGAACCAGTCCTTGCCCTAGAGAGGGGGCGAGGTGTCTACTCAGTATTTTTCACGGTTCCCAAAAGGAATGGCAGCTGGAGGGCGATCTTGGACCTGAAGTTTTTAAACAGTTTTGTAAAACTTCGTCACTTCCGGATGGAGACCCTAAAATCCATCGCAGAGGCTCTTCACCCTGGAGAGTTTCTAACCTCCATTGACCTGACGGAGGTGTATCTGCATGTTCCCCTATGTCAGGGCCACAAACAGTTCCTCCGTTTCTGTGTCCAGGATCAACATTGGCAGTTCAGAGCACTCCCATTTGGCCTGTCTACTGCCCCTCGGGTGTTCTCCAAGATCCTTATACACCCCATTGTATTACTTCAGGAGCAGGGCATCCACGTGCATCCATATCTCGACGATCTGTTGATAAGATCCGACTCAGCGGCCACATCCAGGAGGGACACCGAAACCACCATTCAGTGTCTCCGTTCCCACGGCTTCCTTGTAAACCTTCAAAAGAGTTGCCTTTTACCATCTCAGTCCATAGAGCATTTGGGAGTAATTCTGAATACAGCTCAGAACCGGATGTTTCTTCCAAAACCCAAGGCAGAAAAGATCTGCACTCTGTCTCGGCAGATCATCAGAGCCAGACTATTGTCGCTTATGACACTCGCCAAACTGATGGGACTGTTCATTGCCTGCCTCTATTCGGTTCAGTGGGCATGTATGCACGCGAGACCTCTACAAGTTTCTTTGGCCATACCAGTTCAGGATTATGGCAAAGGAAGATCCTATTGTCACGGTTCCACACCAAGTCAAACTGAGCCTGACCTGGTGGTCCAAGGCAAGAAACCTGCTACAGGGGCGTGTGTACTATGTGAAAGAATGTGAGCAGATAGTCACAGACGCCAGCCTCTAAGGCTGGGGCGCAGTGTACCTGAACTCTCTGGCTCAGGGAACATGGTCCAGAGAAGAAAGCAGGCTTTCCATCAACTTATTAGAGCTCAGGGCCATTCGACTGGCCCTTCTTCAATTCAATTCAGCTCCCAGCTCCCGGCCGTCACATCCTCCTCAGGACAGACAATGTTACTGCAAAAACATACATAAACAGCCAAGGGGGCTCCAAGTCTTCACCCCTTCACAGGGAGGCCTGCAAGATCCTATTGTGGGCAGAATGCAACGTGGCTTCCATTAGAGCGAAACACATAAAGGGCTCCCTCAATACTCGTGCCTCCCCAACCAGTTACAAGACACCAAGGTTCTTTACCAGATACCATCACAACAGGGCAGAGGCGACGGATGCCCTAACCTGTACTTGGCCCTCCGGACTCATGTACACCTACCCATCTACGCTGGTGTTCCCAAGACTTCTCAGAAAGATCAGAGAAGAGAAAGCGGAGATCATTCTGGTGGCCCCATATTGGCCCAGGAGACCATGGTTCTCCAAACTGAAGAACCTCACTCTTCGTTCTCCTCTTACACTACCGGTATCATCGGATCTGCTGAATCAAGGTCCCATCTGGCATCCAGACCCGGGATGGCTCCGATTGACCGCTTGGCTATTGAGTGGGGGAAACTCCACAAACTAGGTTTCTCCAAAAAGGTAACGGATACCATGTTGGCTTCCAGGAGACCTTCCACTTGTCGAATTTACAACGTTACTTGGAAGGCGTTCGTTTGATGGTCCAGAAGGAAACATGTAGATCCACTAAAGCCATGTTTGAGATCCATCCTTGACTTCTTACAGGATGGACGTGACTCTGGGCTGTAGGCATCTACCCTTCGGCATCAAACAGCTGCATTGGCAACAGTCCTACCGACCTTTCAAGGGTTCATAGTTTTGGCTCATCTTCATGTGCGTCGATTCCTAAAGAGTGCATCACTTCAAGATCCCCCTACATCTCACAGGTTTCCATTATGGAGGCTGAATGTGGTTCTCAATGCCTTGACGGTACCACCGTTCGAACCCATCAAAGAGATCTCTCTGAAGTGGCTTAGAATGAAGGCCCTCTTCCTGGTGGCGGTGACATCGGCCAGAAGAGTATCGGAGCTGGAAGCACTTTCTGCTAATCCAAAATTCTGTGTATTCTACAAGGACAAAGTGGTGCTATTCACGGATCCCACCTTCCGTCCTAAGGTGAATTCTCGTTTTCACATGTCTCAAGAGATTTCACTACCTTCCTTCTGCCCTAACCCACGGCATCCCAATGAGAGGTCTTGGCACTCACTGGACGTGAGACGGGCCATAAAGATATTCCTCTTGCATACTAGCTACTTCCGAAAATTGGAATCCATCTCTGTCTCCCCACCAAATAAAGGGAGCAGGATGTCCAAGGCTTCAATCAGTTCTACATTGAAGGTGTGCGTCTCGGAAGTGTACGAGGCCCAGAAGCTAGTTCCTCCTCTGGCCCATTCCATTCGGAGTGCAGCCACGAACGCTGCCTTGTCCAACCGATCATTGGTAGAGGAAATCTGCAAAGCTGCCATGTGGTCATCTCCTTCCACATTTGTTAAGCACTACAAGATGAACCTGTATGACTCGGCAAATGCAGCCTTCGGACGCAGAGTTCTACAGCACGTCCTTTCTAACGATGACGATGACCCACCCAACAGATGAGGACACTGCTATGGGAGGTCCCATCAAGATGTCCTCCTCTCAGAGGGAGAATGGACCAGTGGATACTTACCGTGAGGGGTCCTTCTCCTCTGAGATATAAGGAGGACATCTTCGCCCTCCCGAGTCATCGTCAGTCTTATTCTGCTGCTCATTACCTGATGTTCTTTCATACTTCTTTGCTTCCTTCTTGTCTTACTTCTATTCTGTTTTTCCCCTCAGTAGTTAACCAGTTATAGCCTTGTTGCCATGGTTCAATGTTGTTGTTATTACTGCTTCTGTGAGTTCCAGAACTGAGGAGATGGGCGTTCCCCACCAAGAGGAAAGGAAGTTGAAGATTATTGGTTCCTGCCTCCCTACAGATAGGGTGGGAAACACCCATCAAGATGTCCTCCTTATCTCAGAGGAGAAGGACCCCTCACGGTAAGTATCCACTGGTCCATTCTGGAAGGTTGATGAGAGTTCTTCTGATCTCTGTTCATGATTTAAATTTGGAATTCATTGCAAGCTTTATTTTAAACAGTGTTTGATTTGACTGTCTCGCCTCTTTTATGCACATCTTCCTGGTTCAGATACCTAAAAAGGAAAATGACATGTTTGGGATTTTTATCTTTGTTTTGGGCCATTATATTTACTATAAGATTGTGTGCATAATTTGGGGGATGTACTGAATTGTGGAAAACTGGCCATTATAGCAATTTTAACCTTGTTATTCAGCATATTCTGTATGTGAGCATCTAGGTTGTATGTGAGCATCTAAAGGTTTAATTGCCTTTTTAAAAGCCAGGAAAAAAACAAGGGGACAAAAACTCAAAATCCAACAACTAAATAACTTTAAAAAAAAAAGGGAAAAAAGCTACACCCAGAGACATTTATAAATACAACAGTGGTGGCAAACTTACATACAAGTTTCTATAAAGGCTTTCCAAACATCTAAAAATAAGTCTATGCACAATTATTGTCTATATGCCATTTGTTCAAATACTGATAGAGTTCTGAGGTCTTCAGTCCAATGGGGTTTTATCTTTCCAATTTTGTAATTCGAGTCTTTTAGCTGTAGTAATTCTATGTGTTGGTTAATTTTGAGCCTTCAGTATTGGAGATGACTGTGATGGTCCTATGTCCTCTTTTAGCTCTTGTTGTAGGATTTGACTGGGGGACGTACCTAGAGGAACATGGATGCAAGGCCGCACCTGTCAGCGGTTTTAAACATGTGAGCAATTCCCTATTTGCTTTTGAAGATTTCTCTGCAAGACCTCGGCTCCTTATGATATTCACTGGGTGATCTTGAGCCAGTCACACTCTCTCAGCCTAACCTACCTCACAGGGTTGTTGTGAGGGTAAAAAGAAGGCGGGAGAATGAAGTTGGAAGGTACTTTGAGTCCCCACTGGGGAGAATAGTGGGATGTAAATATCTACATTAAAATGTATTCTTTTAGCAAGAGAAAACATTGAGGAAGTGTTGGGAGGTATGAAGAAAGGCACTTTTCTCCTAGAGGGAGGTTGGCAGGCAGTGGACTACCTTCCCCTACGCCCCCCCCCCTTCCTTAGTTTAAAGAATGGGCAGAGCCAGTTCAATTGCATGCCAGATTCCAGCCACAGAAATACTAATGACCTGGCTGGAAGAGTCCACTGAGGGATTTGGTGCTACCTGATCTGGAGATTTCCCAGAATGCATGGAGATTTCCCAGAAAGCCTTCCAGGGGTGATCCCAGGATGCACCTGTAACCTGAGCAGATCTGGTCAAAAGGGGTGGAGGGAGTCATGTGAAGTGGGTGGAGACAGAGGTTTAACAATGCTTCCCTGCAAGGGGAAGGCAGTCTCTCTTTTCCCATGGAATGCTGAACTGAGGAGATTTCTTGTCTGAGGTTGGAAACAGGCCACCATTTTGAACCATGTGTTCTGCTTTGAGGCCTGCAGGGAGCCGTAAGGTAATGGAAGAGCTTTAGAGACTTTGTAACTTTCTAAGATTAGGTGCCTGCTCTAATTTTAACACCTAGTTAATGTTTTAGAGAGAGGGACAGAAGGATTGTGCTTATTCCCAAGGCATTTTGTTTCTGTATTGCTGATCTGGTGTGATGCTAAAGGATGCTTGTAACTTTTTCTCCTTTTTAATATTTTAATCTGTTCATGCTGGTGGTTAATCTCTGTACCACATCATGCCCCACCCATTTTTGGACACGCTACTGTGAAAAGGGGGAGGGAAGAGGTCAGGGTGCAAGTGGCCAATCCCTCAGGGGAAACCCAAAGCTGTATTTGGTGCCTGTGGTGGCCAGGCGCTGGGTAGCAGGAAACCTTGAGGCAAGGCCTCAGAACTGGGAAGGGGGGTAGAAAGTCCTGTTCCTCTCATTCGGGACCCCTAAAATGAATAGCTGGTGGCAGCGAATACTCTAGCACAAGGAACAGGAATAGCTCCCTCCAGGAGGTGGGAATCCAAAGAGGGAGTGGACAGAATAGGGTCTACAGGTCAAGCAGGCCTGTTCCGTCACAGGAGGGATAAGAGCTTTTAGGTAATTTTTTTAAAGCTTCATTCACCTCCTTTTTGGGCTGAGAGGAACAATTTGTTTCTGAAAATTGGCATAAACAGGGCTGTGCTAAGCAAAGGACCAACACAAGATGTGAAGCAGCCAGTGCAGATATACGTTGTCTAGGTAACCACTACAAACCTGATGTATGTTGAACATGGTCTTCAGTGGATTAGACCCAATAAATAGTGAGAACTTGATAAAAAACATGGTTGAAGCTGAATGGCTTTGGGCCTGCTCAGTGGTTGGGTGGCAGACAGTAGGTGTAAACCAGTTTCAACAAACAACAAGATATAACTTTAAAAAAATTAAAAACTATAATCTGAAGGCTGGCTTACCAGCAGTGAAATGCTAAATAGCAGCTTGCAGATGGATTCCAAATCAGCTTAGCAACAAGCTTAAAATATGAAGAGTTAATTAAAAACATGAAGTTATTTTGTTTTGAATAGAAGTGTTGTTTTTGTAGAAAGCTGTTTGCCTATTGTAAAGATATTTTGTTTTTACATAACCTCTCAAGGCTTTTGGTTCCTTCACATATCAGTGTCCCAGAAGTGGGACTTCTTGTATCATCAATTCACTTTAAAATCAGTATCTCTAAAAGCAGCCAAAGATTTGAGCAGACTTCTCAAATGTTTCCTTAGTATCAATTAAAAATAGCAAATAATAAGAAACCATAAATTTTTAACCTGAACATCTGCTTTGTATTATTCCATTTGTATGTGTCTTCAGTTGGGAGGGCCGCCCACCCTCACAACCACCATCTGATTTCCTAGCTTTTCTCAAGGTCTCCCCACCCACCCCTGTTTTATCTGTAGTAACGAGAGTCAGACAGATCAGTGCTGTATTTGAAAATGAAAGCTCTGTACAAGCAAGCAAACCGCATATGCAGAATTAGAGATCACATCCTACAATTCTCTGCTGTGTTCAGATATACCACTCAGCAGATACACATGTCTGATACTCGCTGTTCTTTCTGTACCTTTTCTCTTCTTCCTGTTTCACGACTCCTCTCGCTTATTCTCCTTTTAATCTTTCAGGTGCCCCTTTATGAGCAATGGGAGGATGTGATGAAAGGGATAAAGCTGGAAGTGTTGAACAGTGATGCTGTGCTTCCTAGTCGTGTATACTGGATTGCTTCTGTTGTTAAGATTGCAGGTGGGTCTCTTGAGAAGGGCAGCAGAAAAGACTGGGAATCTTTATTGTTCATTTTTATTCAGTTGATCTCAAGAGTTGGAAGGGACCAGTGGGGTCATCTAGTCCAACCCCCTGCCAACAAAGGAACTACAACTATAATATTTCCAACAGTGAAGAATCCAACACCTCATGAGGGTGCCCTGCTTCATCCTGATATTTTAGAGCAGGCAGACTTAAAAGAAGACCCCCCCCCCCAATGCTCCTCCCATCCCAGACATTAAAATGTCGTTAAGATCAAAGACTAATCTGCCTATGGGTTCAACCCCAGCCCAAGTAAATTCTTCAGTGATTACAAAAGATGTCCAGATCAGGCTGTGATGCATTTCTGCGGAATGTAAGTTGCCTAGCTGTGAGGCAGCTGCCACTTCTCTAGATATGAGAATCCCTATTCCAGTCTTTGACCCTTGGCTGATAATGTGGATGGCATTATGAAGTTTTCATATGCTCGCAGAACATTGGTTCTTTTATCTTAATGCAGCTGTCAGAAGCACGCTGACGCCTTTCCTGGACCTGCTACTTGGAATCCTTTAACTGGAGCATTGTACATGCAAAATATGCACTCTACCCTTAAAGCAGCAGCCTGTTAAAATCTTGACCATCATGGTGGACAATAGACGGGTGGCAGTCTCCTTAGTATGGTGGTTCTTCATGGAGAAGGCAGTATGAACTGAGTGCAGGTGCTAAGGGTGCTGGTGGAACCTTCTTCCCAATCTGTGAAAAGGGAGGGTGGCTATGCTGCCGGCCTGGCTAGATAGCCAGACAGGCCCTGAGAACAGCCCCTGTAACTGGCCTGTGAAGAAAAGCTTTAAATTATTGTTGGCATATACTTTGGTAATTACAAAAGATGTCCAGATAAGGCTGTGATGAGTTTGAGGTGCAAAAGACTAAGGCATGGGTGACAACTGTAAAGGATTTGCAGGGCTGAATTGGGGCACCAGCTGTAGTTCCCAGTGGCAAACTTCATTAGGCTATGGAACAGCTTAAGAACATAAGAGACGCCAATGTTGGATCAGGCCAAAGGCCCATCCAGTCTAACACTCTGTGTCACACAGTGGCCAGAAATACCAGTGCCATCAGGAGGTCCAGCAGTGGGGCCAGGACATTAGAAGCCCTCCCACTGTTGACCCCCCCAAGCACCAAGAAGACAGAGCATCACTTGCCCCAGAGCCCCTATCTATACCTTGTGGCTAATATCCACTGATGGACCTCTGCTCCATATGCTTATCTAATTCCCTTTTGAAGCCATCCATGCTTGTAGCCGCCACCACTTCCTGTGGCAGTGAATTCCATGTGTTAATCACTATTTGGGTGAAGAAGTACTTCCTTTTATCCGTTCTAACCCGACCGCTCTGCAGTTTCATGGAGTGCCCACGAGTTCTTGTATTGTGAGAAAGGGAGAAAAGTACCTCTTTCTCTACCTGCTCTTTCCCATGCATAATCTTATAAACCTCGATCATGTCACCCCTCAGTCGTCGTTTCTCCAAGCTAAAGAGCCCTAAGCGCTTTAACCTTTCCTCATAGGGAAAGTGTTCCAACCCTTTTATCATTCGAGTTGCCCTTTTCTGCACTTTTTCCAAAGCTATAATATCCTTTTTAAGGTGTGGTGACCAGAACTGCACACAGTATTCCAAATGAGGTCTCACCATTGATTTATACAGGGGCATTATGATATTGGCTGATCTGTTTTCAATACCCTTCCTAATAATCCCCAGCATAGCATTGGCCTTTTTTATTGCAGTCACACACTGTCTCGACATTTTCAGTGAGTTATCCACTACAACTCCAAGATCTCTCTCTTGATCAGTCTCTGCCAGTTCAGACCCCATCAATGTGTATTTATATTTAGGATTTTTGGCTCCAATGTGCATCACCTTGCACTTGGCCACATTGAACCCCATTTGCCATGTTGACGCCCACTCGCCCATCCTTGACAGATCCCTTTGGAGTGCCTCACAATCCTCACTGGTTTTCACCACCCTGAACAACTTCGTATCATCCGCAAATTTAGCCACTTCACTGCTTAAACAGCTTCTTAAAACCAGTGCTGAGAGCCCTGTGTGTTGAGCCGTTTGCACCCAGTGAAATGGAGGGTGTGCTGTGTGGGATATTGCTGCAGCTGTCAAGGGAGAAGGGCAAGGGTATTCAAAACTTAATAATCTGTTTTACTTTCTTTCTTCCTCCTCCCCTAAATTTACCATGGTAGGCTACAAGGCACTGCTACGTTACGAAGGTTTTGAAAGTGATTCTAGCCATGACTTCTGGGTCAACTTGGGCACGATGGACATCCACCCTATTGGCTGGTGTGCCATCAACAGCAAAATCCTGGTTCCACCCCAGAGTAAGTACTTGAGCCTCACCCAGCTGTGGGGTTCCCTCACAGTTAAAACATCTATCTTGTATTTCCTGAAGCTGGTTCATACCCGTAGGATGTAGTGATTTGCAAATCCCAGATTCGACACTTCAGCACCACTTACCTCACAGGGTGTCTGTTGTGGGGAGGGGAAGGGAAGGGAAAGGAGTTTGTAAGCCGCTCTGAGACACCTTTGGATAGTGAAGGGCGGGGTATAAATCCAATCTCCTCTTCTTCTTCTTCTTCATAAATAAGAAGCGTTTTCAGGGTGGGTTGGGAAGTAAAACTGCTAATTGGGCCCTGTGGCACTATTAGTATCTTTGGAGCTTGGCTTGGGTTGTTTATGGACATCAGCAGCCCTCTGGGAATTTTTCTGGTAAGTTTCACTTTGCCCCAGACATGTGTGCTTGCAAATTGTGTAGTGTTTCTACATTCTTACTTGGATTATTAAAAGGAAGGAGAGGTGGACATCCAGGTACACGTAACTAATGTGACATTGTCTTGGGATCAGACCCCTGGAAACACCACTCAGACTTCTTGTTGTTCTCCATGCTTTTAGTGAAAGGCTGCTTACTCATTTTTCTTTTGTCCCGTAACCACTTAGCTAACTCATTTCCATTATCACAGTACATTCCCTATAAGCTGCGCAGGGCAGGTAGTTGAAGGATACATAGTTTTGTGTGATGATCACATCATTGGGTAGCTTGTTCTGGTATGAGCTTTGTTGACATTCATCCCTTGTTCCCTTGGCCTCGGTCTTCCTTTTTGCTCTGTTCCTGTCCTTTAGTATGCCATGCCTTTTGCAATCTCAGAAACCACCAGTTGATTAAATGGAACTTTTGGAGGTCGGGTCAGATGCCCCTCCTCATGGCAAACACAATTCAAATCAAGCTTTGTACAAACCAGCAGCTTGCATCGCTTATTGCACATTGCAGAATTTGGCTACATGTGGTCCAGAACTTGGTCTGGTTGTGGCAAGAATGCCTCTCCCCATTACCCAAGATTGACTACTGTTGCCCTGCTGTTCGTGGCTGCGTTAACAGAAATTATATTGGTACATTCCAGGCCAGCGAGTTTCAGGTATAAATGCCCCCTTCCCCCCAACTGTGGAATTTCCTTTTTCAGAAGGTGCTAGGCTGCCTCCTCCTAAATGGTCTTGAAACCTGTGAAAAATGTAAAAAGATGTAAAAGGGCATGCCAAGCTAACTCTTTTGATTTTTTCTTTCTTTCTTGCCTTTCCTGTCCAGCTATCCGTTCCAAGTACACAAACTGGAGGGATTACCTTATGAAGAAGCTTGTAGGAGCCAGGACCATCCCGGCAGATTTCCATATAAAGGTAACTTCCTCTGGATTTGGTCTCCTGATGGGATACTGTAGTATCAACTGGCAGTGTCCTAGGATGGTACTTTTTTCCTTGTCCCTCCTCCATGCCTCGTGTCTATCTTTGTGGGGTGCAGGTGGTGGTCTTCAACCTGACTGGGTTCTGGTCATCTGCATCCCAGCAGGAATCAGTATGAGCTGAGGGGCCATGCAGTGCTGGACCATGCGGGGGTACTGAAATACATAGCTATAGTCAGTACCAATTAGTTCCCTTGGCAAGTGCCTGTCTCTGTGTGGATTACTCTTGGGGGATAGAGAATGAGGAATCAGTTGACACATTCTAAAGACTTTGATCGCAATCCTGTCCTCTGTATGGAGGGGGCAGCTTTTTTGCAGCATTCCCCCACTCCATGCCTCAGGCCATTGCCAGGAGATTTTAGTGTCTGATGAACATGGGCCGCCCATGCCAAGCATAGGAATTAATTTCAAATGCACAGTCTAGGTAGCTGGTGAGTGCAGGACTAGTGGAAAGTAAGAGGAGTGGAGAAGAGAGGGGATACAGCCCAAACTCCCACCCTTGCACTGCCAGTTCAGTGGAGCTGCCTTTGTCTGCTTCATATATATGCAGTAGGGACCTAAAGCTGCTTACATTGCTCTCCTCTCTTTCATTTTAGGCTCACTACCCTGTGAGGCAGGTTAGGCTGAGGGTCAGTGTGACTGGCCCAAGGTCACCCAGTGACTTTCAATGGTAGAGTGGGGATTTGAACCTGGGTCTCCCAGATCCTAGTCCAGAGTGTTAACTACTATACCACACTGGCTCTTGGTTCCTGGCCTCTGATTGGCCCCCCAGTTGGAGTGAAAAGGAGTTGTTCAAACTCATCAGGTCTGCTTTGGAAGCCCTGTTGAGGTCAGAGTGTAGCTACTCAGTGGGGAAGGAAAAGCACACTCGGCATCCTCTGAGGCCTTGCCCTAAATGATCTAAAACAGCCCTGGCACAGAATAAATACAGCATGGTGAATCTGTCGTTGCTGGCACACTGCACACTCCTTTCTTCAGTTTGGGAGTATCCGTTGGAGAGGCTCCCCCTGCTGGCATGTTTTAGAAAGCATCCTGGACTAGCACTTTTCTTCGTCATCCCTGCGTCTTGAATAATGAGATGGCGGATTAAGGAAGAGATTTGTGGGTTTTGACTTTCACGTTAAATGTGTGCAGTGCTGATTTGGAATCAGTGGCACTTTCTTGTTGTAGTGGTGGAAGGGCTGATTAATGGCTGCAGGATGGATGCTGGCTGCTTAAGTCTGCCTCCTTTCTCTTTCCTGTATTACATTGTCATGGCTGACAGTGGGCTGCTGAGCAATGCAGGTCAAAATAACTTTTCCTTTGTGGAACAGGTGGACAGGTTTTGCTTCAGGATCAGTTGCTAAAGTTTGGACTGCAGTGCTATGCATGCATACCTGGGAATAAGTCCCATTGGAAATCTACTGGACTTAGTTCTGAGGAAGTTTGGATAGGATCTGGCTGCAAGTCTCTGCTTTATAATATTTTCTATAGCATGCATTTGAGCATCAGAAATAAGACAAGGCAAAAAAAAGTCCAAAATGCCCCATGAAATGGTGTTCGGAGCACAGGATACCCAGAAATAGCATGAAGGAGGGAGTTTGAGGCCTCCCATGGGATGAAGGTTGGCAGAAGCTGTGACACACACCCTGTGTGTGGAAATTCTCCTGTGGATCCAAGTCAGGAGGCTGAGATTGGGTGGCCAAAGTTGAAGAACAGCTGGTTTTTATACCCCACTTTTCTCTACTTTAAGGAGTATCAAAGCAGCTTACAATCACATTCCCTTCCTGTCCCCACAACAGGCACTTAGTGAAGTAGGTGAGGCTGAGAGAGTTCTGAGAGAACTGTGGCTGGCCCAAGGTCACCCAGGCAGGCTTGATGTGGAGGAGGAGTGGGGAATCAAACGCAGTTCTCCAGATTAGAGTCCAATGCTCCTAACCACTACAACGTGCTGATGTGTTAGGCCATAGGTGTCTAATTCCATTTGTTAGGAGGGCCAGATCTGACATAAATATCACTTTGTTGGGCCGGGCCATGTGTGCCATAAAATGTAACACAAGGTACTGGAGATATAAACTTTATCGAGATGATTTCAGATGCTAAATGGCAATAACAGGCATGATTGGATTAGGTGGGATATGCAGAGGAGTGGAGATAGCAGCATTGGTGTGATATACAGAGGTGTGGAGATACCAACATTGGTAATGAGACAAGAAACCTAGGTCTCAGTTTGGTACAGGATGATTCAGTCCAGGAGGATGCACAGAATAAATGGAAATAAGTCTGAAGAAGTGAGCAGTGACTCACAAAAGCACATTACCCTACCACAATTTTGTTAGTCTTTAAAGGTGATAATGGAGTGTTACTCTTTCTACAACGGTTTGAAAACCACAGCATTCAAAAACCAGTGGGGGGAACATTTTAACCTTCCAGGCACTCAGTTGCTGACCTAAGAGTAGCAGTTCTCTTATAAAGGAATTTCAAAGGGAGATTAGAGAGAGACTGCTGAATTGCAGCTGATCATGAAGCTCAATACAATGCAAACTGAATTGAGACCTAGGTTTCGTCTCTCCTTACCAATGCCTGCTCTTGTCTTTTGGCATCTGAAATCACTTCACTCTCCAAGATATAAGGACAGATGGACTCACATTCCAGCTGTATCTGAGGAAGTGGGCAGTGATTCATGAAAACTCATGCCCTGCCACAAATTTTGTTAGTCGTTAAGGTGCTGCTATACTCTTCCTCCCTTTCACTAATAAGGAATGCAAGCTTTGCCGTTAGGTTTCTCCCCCCCATCTGTTAGAAATGGAAAGGGGGATCTCTACAAGTGCCATGGGATGTGCTCTCTCTCTCTCTCAGGTATGTATATATCTGGAATAAAACCTTTTTGTTCTTAAACACAGTTCCCCCCTATACCTGGAATAAAACATTTTGTTGTTGTTAAACATAGGACTCCCCCCCCCCCCCACACCCGAATAAAACATTTTTTGGTCTAAACAAAGGACTCTCTATCTTTCTGGCTGGGTGGCTGGCTGCCTCCCTGGTCTTCTGAAAAGTCCCATGAAATGGCATTTCCCCCCTCTCTTTGTCTGTCTTCCTTCCCCTCCCTCCCCGGGGGGGAGCCCTCAGCCAATGGAGGGAAGGCTTTCTCTCCTCTTGAAGCAGGAAATAGGAGAGACTGGGGGAAAGAAGCTGCAATGTTACAAACAGGAAGCAGCACAGAGTCAGCTGCTCTCGGGCCAGATTGTAGCCCTGAGTGGGCTGGATCCAGCCTGCGGGCCGTATCTTTGAGACCCCTGTGTTAGGCAATATTTAAGCTGAGGATTCCCAGTTCATAGCTCAGTGTACTGGCCTAGCTATAGCAGCTTCCATCAGTGCTTTGTTGCGATTGAATCTTCATATGGAATCTTGGTTAAACAAATCTTACTTTGGTTCTGGATTTCGGACTATAAACTACAACTCAACACACTCCATTGTCTCTTCCCCCAGAGCACTAAGGTAGAAAGTTTATAATTCATCCCAATATTTAGGTCATTTTATGTTGGCACGGGATAGGGATCTGCTAAATTAGTGTGATTGCCATCATTCAAGAAGAACTGCACTTTGGGGTTAGAGGCATTATAAGAAGGACAGGCAGTTGATAGTAAGCCTCAGTTGGAAGATAGTTGTGCTATGGGATGTAGCTGGCGCCCGAGTGTTTGCCTCTTTGTTTGCACAGATGACCGAGAACATGAAGTATGCTTTCCGCCAAGGAATGAGAGTAGAAGTGGTGGACAAGACCTGTGTTTCGCGGACACGTATGGCAGTAGTGGACACGGTTATCGGTGGTCGTCTGAGGCTCCTTTATGAGGATGGGGACAGTGATGACGATTTCTGGTGTCACATGTGGAGTCCTCTCATCCACCCTGTAGGCTGGTCTCGAAGGGTTGGCCATAGCATAAAGAAACCAGGTGAGAGTTCTCATGTCCAGTGTATTCAGTGGCAGGGGTGGCTGTTAGAAGATCATATTCTTGTCCAGAGCAGTGGTTTGGTGTACTGCTGAAGCTGCAGTGGTTAGTTGGTGGTGGGTCTTGTGCTCGTCATGTGTTTGAAGGAGTTAACATTCCTATTTATGCCCCACTCCCACCATCTGACTCTTTTATGCTTGAAAGTGGAGGAGAGATAACTTGAGATACACAGCATGGAGAGTGAAATTCATGTTGGCTTGTCTGTTCCTTGCTTAATTCAAGTGCCTCTCCAATCTACCTTTAGATTTTTCTGCAATGTATCAAGAGTAGTGTGTGTTTGCCACTCTAGGTGCCTTTGCTGCCAGCCCCCAGTAAAATATGTAGTGCCAGCAGCACTGACTTCTACAGTAGAGTAATACTTGGCTCATCCTTACTCTGAGATTCTGATGGTGGTACAAGAAACTGAAGAAGTCGCAGCCATTTGAGTCCTCTCTGTGTGATGAGGGAGGCAGCACATTCTGCATTTCTCACAGCAGTGAGTGTGAAACTGTGTGCCCGTAGCACGTGTGTGAAGGGCACTGTTGCCAGTTTCTGTTTATGGCTCTGAACTGTTCTGGTGCTACAGTTGAACGTGTGAATCGCTGGACGTAATCTTTACTACTTTTCCTATGTAATATATTATAATCAGGTTTTCTGACTGTGCTGAAAATGTAATAGGTCTGTTTCAGTCATATATGCATACCTGTATGTTAGTCTTGCACCTTTGCAAGAAGAACAAAAAGCCGAGGTTGAGTTGCTCATATCTCAAATAAAGTTTAATTTTCCTTGTTAAAGATGACAAGTAGCTATCCAGGTCATTCTAGATGCCTTAGTTCTCTCTGTTCCCATATTATGTCTTTTCCTGGAAGAAAAGTGTAACGACATGGCAAACCATCCTACCTTCCGGAAGATCTACTGTGATGCTGTTCCATATCTTTTTAAGAAGGTAGGAGAGTATCAGCTTCCTGCTCTTGTTTCCTGTGCTTGCCCAGTGGTAGAGCTCTTGGTGGGAGGAGGGAAAAGAAGCCTCTACCGTTCTTGGGGTTGCATTTGATAGAATAGTTGGATTCTCTGTCTTGTCCTGCAAAGGCCTAACAGTGGGCACACAGGAAGCTGTCCTACAGCAAATCAGACTTGTAGAAATGGGGCAGGGAATTCTCCGGTGCTTTATTTTTCTACAGAAAACATTCTGTTTCTAAAGATTCATTGATTTACCAAATTAATAATACTGAATGGAATGCAACTGCCGATACAATATTAAGCAAGGTTGGCAGTTTCAGAGTTGTAATTAATGTTTTCCAGGTGGCTGTCCCTAGGCTTTGTGTGTGTGGGAACATGTGTGTTTTATTGATTTGTAGTAAATGGATGGAAGAGAGGGGAATAAAGGCAAAAATACATATAAATTAAAATATCAAGTTATGAATTCTCCTGAGTATGTGTTCTGGTGAAATCAAGAAGTTAAAATTGATATTTATCTGTCTCTTCTCACATGATGGAAACGATTTTGTAATCACCAGTCTGATATAGAACTAAGAAGTGATGCCACACAGTGACAAAACTAAGGTGCCCCAGTGGCTCCCGTGTTGAAATAGATGAGTGGCCACCAATATCTGTGGCGTATCAGGCATAGTTCTTTGGATGTGTTGAAATCCGTGTCAACAGTTTTCAGTGCCTTTGGTATTTTTCTTAAATTTACAGTGGAATATGGCATACCGTCTTCAATTCTTACAAGTATTATTCCACTAAAAATAAATTTCCACATAACATTTTGAATTTGTTTGAACAATTTAACCATACTTGATTTTTTTATCCTTCAGTGAAGCAGAAACACTGGGGTGTGATAGAAATTAAGCTTTCTCTCTTCTTTCCTCTTTCCATCTTCTTTATTTTCCAGTCCCCCCCCCCCCTTTGACTGACAGAAACCAGAGGCTTGGGAAGCTTGACAAAATTGTTGTGGTTGTCTATCAGGTCACAGATCTCAGAATGTAGTCTTGTAAGATCTCAAGTGGGCATTTAATGTTGCTTCTGTTATTTTAGGTGTTGTTTGTTTGTGATTTTAAGATTTCAGATTTTTCTGCAAACTTGGGGCTTATCTGGAGTTTGTGGGAAAATATTTCCTGTGTGTCCCCTGGTCCCTGTGTGGATTTTTAAAAAAACATTCTCTAGGGCTTAGTTCGGAATTAGATACAATGTTCAGTATTAATGATTAAGCATTTGACATGTTTATCATGTTTACCCTTGCAACCATGCTGTGTAATAATGTAATTGACCACAATCTGTTCCAGGTGCGTGCTGTCTATCCAGCAGGTGGTTGGTTTGAAGAGGGCATGAAACTGGAAGCTATTGACCCTTTGAACCTGGGCAACATTTGTGTGGCTACCGTTCGCAAGGTATGCTGGTGGAATCAAGCACTGGAACATAGGGCCTCTGTCCTCTTTCACACACTTAACCTTTGAAGGACTTGGGAGTTTTAGAGAAATGACAAATCTGTGATGGAAGGACAGGAGGGTGGCTCTGATTTTACATTAGGGGGTACCTCCTGGTCCAGATTCCATCGTCTGCAATCTGTTACAGGTACCAAGCAGGAATCTGCAGATCTCCTTCCCTAAACAGGTGTACTAGACTCTAGTGCTACACTCTTTTAGGGGTGTAGAACGCTTCTGGTAGACATTTAGAAGACTGCCTTCTTATGTATTTTGGGAATGTATTTGTGTTAACAGGATATTGACATATGCTTTCTGTATCTGTGCATGCTTATATATTAACCTGCCTTGGCTTTCCTTGTGGAAGAAAGGACGGGTAGAAGAATAAATGAGGCAACAAGGGATCTCTAGTAGGGAAACTGCTGCCATGGAATATTTTGTGGGGTGGCTTTCGGGGCAAAAGGTTTGCTGGTTTCTCTTCTCATTCTGGGCCTCTTGTAGGTCCTCTTGGATGGATATCTGATGATTGGCATAGATGGCACAGCCTCAGAGGATGGCTCTGATTGGTTTTGCTACCATGCTTCCTTACACTCCATTTTCCCTGTCGATTTCTGTAAGAAGAACAGCACTGAACTGATTCCTCCGAAAGGTGAGACAACTCAAACACTTTTCCTTCACTTTTCCAACATTGTCACAGAAACAAAGAGAACCCTGCCCACTCCTTGTTAAGACAGTGAGGCAAGGAAACGCTGCAGGAGTTAGACTATAACTAGAAACTCCAGATTTGTTTGTGACAGCTTTCAAGATGGTGCTCTCAGTTACTAAAGGGAACATTTTGGTCCTTACCTGGTTTCCAGTTTATGAACTATTTGAAGGCTCCGAATCTGAAATGAAGATGGAGCATGGTTTCTCTCCTGGTGCCAACTGGGTTTAATTGAACAAGATACCTCATCCTGAAAATCATTTTCTTGCTGCTAATCATTTTCTTACTTACCTTGACCTTGATAACCTAGGCTAGCCCAGTCTAATCAGATCTTGGAAGCTAAGCAGGATCGGCCCTGGATAGTATTTGGATGGGGGACCACCAAGGAACGAAGGTTGCAACCCAGAGGCAGGCAGTGGCAGACCACCTCTGCTCTTCTCTTGCCTTGAAAACACCATGGGGGTCACCATAAATCAGCTGTGCCTTGATGGCAAAAAGCCCCCCAAACATCACTGTTCTTGATGGTGAGCAGAAGCCCTGTTTTCCCCCCCCCTGTTTTTCCAGCTCTCTGGAAGCTGTTTTTCTAGATGACTTCCTCATCACCTCTTAACTCCTGCCCAGTATTGTTTCCACTCAAAAAACAAACACGACTTGACACATCAAGTATAGTGGTGCCTCTTTTTGAACTGTGCCCCGGATATCCTCATTTGACATTTTGCCACTGGTTTTTTTCTAGTGCTCTTGAAGACTTTCCCTCAAACATACTATTCTGTACTACTAACAGCTGAATTTTTATATTGATTCAGGATATGATGCCAAGACCTTCAGCTGGGCAAGTTACCTAGAAAAGACCAAGGCGAAGGCTGCACCAACACGCCTGTTCAATATGGTGAGTGGCACATGGGTAGATATTATCATAAAAGCACTTTACCATTGTGGCGAGGACAGATTGCTATATTGGAAGTGCTGTTACATACACCTATAGAGTGGATACCATGAGAGTGTACACTTCTGGTGCCCCTATTCTATCACACATCTAAAGAAAGTATTAAAAGGGGGCAATTTGAAGGAATTTGGAGCACCTTACCTAAGCGGGAGGGCTCAAATGTTTGGGCCATTTTAGTCTAGAGAGAAAAATCCTTTTTTCTTCTTCTCATTGTTTCCTCATAGGGAAGGTGCTCCAACCCTGTGACTCTCTTGCTTGTGTTTTCCTGCTGTATCATATCCCTTCTAAAGTAGGATGACATGAACTGTACACAGTATTCTAAGTACAGGCACACCATTTGTTGTTGTTCAGTCGCACAGTCGAGTCCGACTCTTTGTGACCCCATGGACCACATCACGCCAGGCCCTCCTGTCTTTTGTTGTCTTCCGGAGTTTGCTTAATTTCATGTTCATTGCATCGATAACACTGTCTAACCATCTCATCCTTTGCCGTCCCTTCTTGTTTTACCTTTAATCTTTCCCAGCATCAGGGTCTTCTCCAGTGAGTGTTCCCTTCTAATTTGGTGGCCAAAGTATTTGAGCTTCAGTTTCAGTATCTGGCCTTCCAGGAAACAGTCAGGGTAGATTTCTTTTAGGATTGACTGATTTGATCTCCTTGCAGTCCAAGGGACTCTCAAGAGTCTTCTCCAGCACCATAGTTCAAAAACATCTATTCTTTGGTGCTCGGCCTTCCTTATGGTCCATCTCTCGTAGCCATACATTACTACTGGGAATACCATTGCTTTGACCATACGGACGTTTGTTGGCAGGGTGATGTCTCTGCTTTTTATTATGCTGTCTAGGTTTCCCATCGTTTTCCTCCAAAGGAGCAGGTGTCTTTTAATTTCATGGCTGCAGTCACCATCTGCAGTGATCTTGGATCCCAGGAAAGTGAATTCTGTCACCACTTCCACGACTTCCCCTTCTATTTGCCAAGGAGTGATGGTGCCAGATGCCATGATCTTAGTTTTTTTGATGTTGAGTTTCAAGCCAACTTTTGCAATCTCCTCTTTCATCCTTAGCAAGAGTCTCTTGAAGTCTCTTCACTTTCCACCATTGGAGTGGTATCATCTGCATATCTGAGGTTATTGATGTTTTTCCTGGCAATCTTAATTCCGGCTTGTGATTCATCCAGGCCAGCATTTCGTATGATGTACTCTGCATATAAATTAAATAAGCATGGTGACAATATACATCCTTGTTGTACTCCATCTTTTTCGTGATCTCTGTGCAGTCCCACACATGGGTTGGGCGCCTGCGCACGACCTTGACCTGAGAAACTTCCAGAGCATGCCCCCGAAATCCTTTTTGGCAGGCTCTCTTCCCGCCCTGGGGAGCAAGCATGCACTGCGCATGCCTGGAGCAGGGGAGAGAGCCGCTTCCCACACAGTTCCTTTTCGACCGCCTTCGTGTTCACACCTCACTAACGCTGCTCTTCAATTTGCCTCAGCTGAGTATTTCGACCTTCTTCGGTTCTCTCCTTCGTTCTTATTTCATTCTTCTTTTTCATCTTCTGTTTAATCTCTAAAAAAAAGAAGGAAACTTTAACTGTTTCTCACTTTCTTTCTTGTCCTCCCCCCCCCCCCCCTTTGTGTGGGTGAGGTGGCGTTTGTATGGGAAAGACAAAGTTTTTAAAGACGTGTCGTCATTGCCCAGCTAAAATCCCATCTAACAACGGTCATGATCTTTGTCTATTGTGTTTGGGCGAAGCCCATCGGGTTGACTCCTGTCCCCACTGTGCCAACTTTACCCGTCAGGCCAGAAGAAACAGAGCAGCCAGGCTTCGTACTGTTCTTCTGGAAGCTGCTTTGTGCCCGAACCTGTCTTCAGCTGCTTCTCAGTCTTCGCTTCACCAGAAGCAGGCAGAAAAATAAAAACACTGAAGCATAAGCTGAAAAGGCATAACGATAAATTGGCGTTGAAATTGAAAGCTTCGACATCAACTTCGGCCCCGAAGCTCGATCCCGTGCTGATTTCTGGTCTATCAATCTCTACTCCTGTGGTGTCTTCACTTCCTCAAAAGGCCAGTCTTCAGCCTCTGACACCACCGCCTACTTTGTCTTCGCCCTCCGGCCGTATTCTGCTGGGCCAGTCCTTGAGATCGCCTCTCCGGCCTATGTCTTGCTGAGAGTATTGATCTCCTTCCCGTCACTCCCACACACCTATCCACGATTTGGATGATGGAGCATTTTTTCAGGGGTCGATCCAGATCTAGGTCTCATTATGACCACAGACGGTATGATCGCCGCACCGTGCCTTCTCCTTCGAGATCGGCATCTGGTTATTGGTCGTGGTCCCCTAGTATCCGCTACCAGAGGCTGTACTATCCTCGTTCTTACTCCAGGTCTTCTATACCTCGCCGAGATCGTTATGATCAACTCCACCATCCTGAACGTCCCAAACGCTGACAAGTTCCTGCGTACTCTAGACATTTGCAATCTGTTGCGTCTGCTTGTTCTCTGGCGCTCGATCAGTCTCTAGAGCTCTTGAAGTCTATGGATGCCCCGAAGAGTTCTCCCTTAGTACCATCCACCTGATGATGATATATCTCAACCGTTGCGATCACCTTCTTTGTCTCTGTCAGTCCACTCGAACTCCGGTGATCTCGATCCCGATGTTATACGCATTGATGATGAGCCTCGTCACTCGGGCTCTTTATCTCCTACCATAGGCCTACTTGGAGCTTGTGATGAGAATGGCTACTGCTCTCTAGGTCCAAGGCTCCACTGAGACGCCCGCAGTGACTGATGTGGTTCACAAACTCGTTCAGGCCAACTTGCCACCATCTGCTTCCTGTACACCTCTCCGTTCTCAAAGAATCGTGGGATCACCCTGCTTCTGTTCCCCCAATCTCAAGGTGTTATGAGGGTCTCTATAATATTCAAGAGTCCTCTGGGAAGTTCCTTTTTACTCAACCTCCACCAAATTCGATGGTTGTGTACTCCTCTTCAAAGTCTAAACAACCAGTCCAGCGAGGGCTGCAAGATCGATGTTATTGCCAAGAAAATGTATTCGGTGGCTTCTATGAATATAAGAATTGATACCTATTTATCATACCTTTCAGCCTACGCCTTTAATGTTGCTACAACCGTGCGTCCCGTTGAAGAATCACTCCCAGAGGAGCACCGCCTTCCTTTGTCAGGAGCTTTATCTGAGATCTGTACGATCTCTAAGCAGCAGATCAATTCTATTCATCATGCTGTCACCTGTTCTTCTTAGGTCCTGGTCTCTTCCGTTGCTCTCCATCGTCACACTTGGCTTCGGAGCACCTCTCTTCAACCAGACGTTAAATTCCGGATTGAAGACCTCCCTTTCGATGGAGAGGGGCTGTTGCAATCTACCACCGACGAAACCTATTGATGATAGCTGAAAGCAGGCTCGAAACCTTGGAGTCTTTACCTCCACACCTCGACCCCGATACCAGTCCTGAAGATCTTACTATAATAAATACCAGCCGTCTCCTGCCTCCACCTCTCAGTGGAGAAAGAGGCCTTATGATTCCCGCCAGTCTCATCGACCATGTCAGCAGGCCCCTAGGAAGCCCCAACAACCAGTCCGTTTGACCACTTCGATTGCCTGCCGTCGCCTCTCTCCTTCACCCCTCCCATTTGGACCTGACTCTTCCCCTTCCTTCCAACCTGGGAAGAAATTTCCACCAACTCCTGGGTCCTCACCATTGTACGAGTCGGGTATGCCATAGAGTTCGTTTCGCCTCCTATCCTCCCTAACTTTGTCATAATACCTCCGGATCCCCCGCTCTCCCTGAAGATTTCAGCCCTCCTAGACAAGGGTGTCTGCATCTCATTGGTGTCTGCATCTCCCCGACAATCTGCTCGGTCCATCATGAGGCTCCTGGGATATTTTGCGTCCACGGTCTTCGTTGTTCAGCATACCAGACTCAGGATGCATCCTCTCCAACTTTGGCTTCTCCGCACTTTCAATCCTCTCCAGAGTCCGTGGCACAAGATCCTTTCGATCCCGACTCCAGACATCGACTCCCTCTCCTGGTGGTCCCTTCCTCAGCATCTCCTCTCCGGCATGCCCTTTTGGCATCCTCCTCCAGAGATTTCACTGTCCACAGATGCGTCCCTCTGGGGTTGGGGAGCCCAGTGTGGAATGCTCTTGGCCAAGGGGGCGTGGTCTCCTTGGGAAGTCACCCTTCACATCAGTGCACTGGAGCTACGAGCTGTTCATCTCGCTCTACAGTCCTTTCTTCCGATTTGTTGTTGTTCAGTCGCACAGTCGAGTCCGACTCTTCGCGACCGATACTGCAGGGCAAAGTCATCCAAGTTGCCTCGGACAATACCACCACTGTTTTCTACATAAACAAGCAGGGCGGGACTGCCTCTCTTCGCTTCTGCAGGGTGACCATTGATCTTTGGAATTGGTGCCTCCACCATTTGATCATGCTCTCAGCGATATACATTCCAGGCATTCAAAATGAATGCGACCATTTGAGCCATTCGGGGATGCCAGACAACAGATGATCCATCAATCTTTGATACCTGCGACCGGTCTTCCTCGATTTCGGTCATCTCACCGTCGACGGCTTTGCCACTACGGAGAATGCTCGATGTCGCCTCTTCTTCACCAGAGGTCTGCTGTCTGCTCGGTCTCTTGGAGATGCCCTTCTTCACACGTGGAAGGGAACCCTGTTTTATTTCTTCCCACCCTTCCGTCTGATCTCCCGTGTGGTTCAGAAGATTGTGGGTGATGCCAGCTCCTGCATTCTCATCACGCCCTAGTGGCCGCGCCAAGTATGGTTTCCGCACCTCCTCCGTCTCTCCCAACGGAGGTTCTGGTCCCTGCCTCTTGTCTCCGATCTTCTCTCTCGGGATCGAGGCAGGATCCTGCACCCCAATCCGGCCTTCTTCCAACTGACTGCCTGGAAGATCCTGCGCTAGACTTCCCACCAGAAGTGTCTGACGTCCTCCTTAATTCAAGGAAGCCCTCTACCTGCACCGCTTACCGCTCGAAGTGGAAGAGGTTTCAATCTTATGCCTCTCGCCATGCCTTTGATCTGATCCAGGCGTCTCTGCGCGAGATCTTCTCCTATGTTGTCTCCCTGAAGGAATCTGGCCTCGCTTACTCCTCCTTACAGGTCCATTTGGCGGCCATCTCCGTGTACAGGGCTCTACAGTGTTTTCGCACCCTCACGAAGTCCTTCCTTAAAGGTCTTCTTCAGCTGTGTGCCCTGCAGAAGCCCCTTGTACCTTCGTCCTGACTCAACTCAAGCTCTTTTTTTACTTGCACCGAACGAAGCCTTTTCGTAAGTCTCCTAGGCTTTTCGTTGCTTACGGTCCCGATTTCGTCTCAACGCTTGTCGAAATGGGTGACTTCCACCATAGCCCTTTGCTATGAACTGGTGCATCAACCCATTCCTACCTGTATTACTGCCCACTCTACACAGGCAGTATCGACATTGACGGCCTTCCTGGCTGGTGTCCCGTTACAAGACATCTGTGCTGTCGCTACATGGTCCTCGGCATTGACATTTGTGTCCCACTATGCACTTGACATTCGAGCTCGACGGGATGCTGCATTTGGCCAGGCGGTGCTGCGATCTCTCTTTGCTTGATCATTCGGCTTCTTCAGGTAGGACCCATGAATTTAAATAATGATGCTGTATCCTAACCAGTATTTTTTGTCTCTTTCAGCTGCCAGTTCCCTCCACCAACTGGTTCAGCTCTTGTAATCACCCATGTGTGGGACTGCACAGAGACCACAACGAAGATAAACAGGTTTCTTACCTGTAATTGATGATCTTCAAGTGGACATCTGTGCAGTACCACGATCCCACCTGGCCTTCCCCGCTGCTAGCATCTCCTGATCACTTACCTTAGCTTGATGGGACTTATCTGTAGCGGTCGAAGGAACTGGCATGCGCAGTGCGTGCTTGCTCCCCAGGGTAGGAAGAGAGCCCGCCAAAAAGGATTTCTGAGGCAAGCTCTGGACGTTTCTCTGGTCGAGGTCATGCGGAGGCGCCCAACCCATGTGTGGTACTGCATAGATGACCAGTCGAAGATAATCAGTTACAGGTAAGCAACCTGTTTTTTTCCTATGCTAAACCAATCAGTTGTTCTGTATCCAGTTCTAACTGTCGCTTCTTGACCCTTATACATTTTTCTCAGGAGACATGTGAGGTGGTCTGGTACTCCCATCTCTTTAAGGACTTGCCGCAGTTTGTTGTGATCCACACAATCCAAGGCTTTAGCATAGTCAGTGAAGCAGAAGTAGATGTTTTTTGGTACTCTCTTGCTTTCTCCATAATCCAGCCAATGTTGGCAATTTGATCTCTAGTTCCCCTACCTCTTTGAAACCCAGCTTGTTACTTCTGGCAGTTCTCTATCCACATACTGCTGAAGCATATCTTGTAAGATCTTCAGCATGACCTTGCTAGCGTGTGAAATGAGTGCAATTGTCTAATAGTTTGAACATTCCTTGGCATAGCCATAAATGTATATAAACCTTTACCTTCCTTATTATTAAAAGACTTGCACTGCATAATCAAGTCTCCACACTGGAGGTATTTCTCTCCTCTTTGCAGGATTGCCCAAACCATGGCTTCAAGGTGGGCACCAAGCTAGAAGCAGTAGATTTGATGGAACCCAGACTTATCTGTGTGGCCACAGTGAAGCGGGTGGTCCATCGGCTTCTCAGAATCCACTTTGATGGCTGGGACAGTGAATATGACCAGTGGGTGGACTGCGAGTCTCCAGATATCTATCCTGTGGGTTGGTGTGAACTGATAGGTTACCAGCTGCAGCCGCCAGTGGTCCCAGGTAAGGGAAGACTGCTCTGCTCCCAGCTCCACTAGCTTATTTTAAGAGGTGTTTTGGTGGCAAGCTGGCCTGTTGCTCTTTCATGTAAAAGAAAAAAGATTGTGACTTTTACTGCAAAGAAAACCAGAATGTGTTATGGGCTAGGAACCTGGGCAGGGGCTAATGGTGTAGCTGATGAGGAAGTGAAGATACAACAGCAGAGCTGGATTTGAGGCACAAGATTAAATAAGCTACAGCTTGGGACCTAGGGTTATGAGGGGCTTCTCAATATGAAAAAACCCCTAAAATTATTAAATTCCTCCATTTTTGGTAATACTATAGGGCTTCTTAAACTTGACACACTTTAAGGCCTTGGCATGTCTTAATCTGGCCCTGGATTCCTGGGGGATCTCTAGTAGATGCAACCTAAGTCAGTGTCTCCAGGTCTTCCTTGGCATCCTAAGTCCTGTGAGTGGGTAAGCGTCTCTTCAGGTGTTGCTCTCCTCTATAATCAGCAGGGGTCAGTGTGGCTGCATCTTGATTTGGACTTACTGTGTAAGCTCCCTACGTCCTTGGCTTGTTCATTCTCCATGATACCAAGGAATGTAGTTGCTAGTGCAGAATTTAGTGGTCTATTTCTTAAATCTAAAAATGTTTTTGGCCCTCATATTTGAAAACTACAGCTATCACATCTTCCGTCTCCTGAAAATAAATAGTTCTCTGGTTGAAAATGAAGTTTCTATTATGAATTATAGGAGGGGCAATTTAGGAGGTCATTTAGTTGACTCTGCTGGTACAAAGCAAGACCACCCTTTTGCCAGGTCCTTGCAGGAATCCAGCCTACTCAAACCAGACAACAGCGGCCTTTGGATCACATTCCTCTTTTTGTTCAAACTTTTACATTCTCACTCAAAGCTATGCTCTGTTTCTGTGGCTTTTCATTGCAAAACAAAGTTAATATATGTGGTCCCAGAGTAAAATATGCAAAGTAAGCAGGGGTCATTTGGGGGGGGGGCCGCGGGGGGACGCCATCCCCCCGGGTGAGGTGCGGGAGGGCGGGGCCTGGAGCTCCCTGCTGGTGCCCGCTGGAGGTCGCCGCCGGCTGTGGGGAGGACACACTTCCGGTGATGTCAGGGTGTGTGGCATATGCTAATGAGTTATGCTAATGAGTCCCCCTAGCTCTTTTTCTACGAAATGACCCCTGAAAGTAAGCACATTTGGAAAGGGGGTGGGATCATTATTTTGACTTGACCCACAACTTTCCTGCTTCCTAACATTAGAACTCCTAGCCTGCTTAAGCTGGAAACTAATTTTGGAACCTCTTGCCTGGAAACTACTTTATACTTAGCTGCTGCTGTAGTGGCTGTATTGTATAGCTTTAATTAAGATCATCTGCTCAAAGTCTCCTTCAGGTACGATCTTAGAGGTAAATATGAGCCTCCATCAGCTAAAGCTAGAGCTTTTTTGTGCCATGGCACTGGCATTATGGAATAGACTTCTGAAGGAGGTTGGGAAGCCACCATAAGATGGAGTTGTTTAGAAGAGCCTATTCAAACTTCTTGTATCTGTTTGGTGGCTGCATTAATCTACATGGATCTCTGTTCGTATGACTTAGAAATCTCTTTACTGGTTTGGTGGCTACATTGATATGTTTATATAGTTAGAGTTCTCTTTACTGGCTTGAATTATATTTACTGTTTTTGGTGTGTATTGCCTGTGTACTATGTAGCCTGTCTTCAGCCTCTTGTGGAGAATTGTGGGATAAAAATTACGAATAAAATAGTGCTCTGCTCTTTTCTTGGTGACAGAGCCCGTGTCACCTGTGCCAGTCAAGGAGGTGCCAAAGAAGAAGCGGAAGCCATATGGGAAGAAAAGTAAGTGGCAATTGAACTGCTTTGTGCTTGGCACATTCAGGCACTGGTCTAGTGCATGTCTCTTCCTATTTCTTTATCAGGCTACAAATATGTTTCATACTTTCACCACCAAACCCCAAATAAATGCCACTCTCTCATAATAAGTGTCTTGGTATGGGTTATTGACTGCAGTCAGTCTGACAGTGGCCTGGGGTAGCGGTAGCACGAAATATAGTTTTAAATGTTGGAAGCCCAAGTTCAGATCTATGCTCAGCTGGGTAGCCACCATAACATAAGCCCTTTCCTGTGGCTGAAAGTGGTACAGTCCAGACACGTGATGAAGTGGTACAAGTTTACCACTTCAGTGAGAAACAGGCTGCCATCAGCATTCTGTGCTCCTGAGAGGAAGGGCAGCAAATGATTGAAACACTAAGGTAAGATTGGTTTTCCCAGAGCTTGTCTCTTATATTCCAAGGAAAAAAGATGACTGCTAAAGCCCGTTCCGTCAAGCAAACAGCTAAGACACAGGCTGCTCCAAAACCAAAGAAAGGAATGCAAGCGGCAAGTGAGGCCTCAGCGAAACCAGCTCCTGATCCAGGTAAGGAGGTGGGATGTAGCTGGATCTTTTCACTAAGAGGGAGAGCTGGGCAGGGGAAGCCATTAATGAAGTAGTGAATCTCTGAGTGTCCCCCACACTTTGGTAGAGTTGTGACCCTCGTTCACTGAAAAAAATTATGCAGTTTATTGGTTCTAGGGATCCTGAAGGAATCTGGTAAACTAAAACAGGGTTCAGCACTCAGATCCCAGATCCTGCCACTGGGATAAATGAAGTATATTCTCTCTTCAGAATATGATAATATGTATTTTTGTCTGATCTCTTGGCAAATCCTGCTAACAAGTTGGAATTCAGTGATCCGTTTTTAGTTACTTGTTCTGCCTTAGTTAAACAGCCTGCTCTAGGCTCTCTTTTAAACCGTTTGAATGTGTTTTGGTAGTAATAGTTCCTGTAATTTTTCACAGACTAGTGTGGGCAAATTATGGAGGGCAAAGGCTGATGGGCCTTCTGTCTTCACTTGGGTTGTGCCAGCACCCATGTCTCAGCAGCCATGCTGGCAGGAAGAACTGATTCTGTATTTTAAAGATACATTATTATGGGTAGGATGACCCCCATGCCATGTGTTCTTTTGATGTAGCGCAGACACCAACAAAATCTGACTTACAGTACTGAATCTGATTGCTACAAAACTCTGAAAACCCTCTTTTTAGAAAGCGATAGACTTCTATCCCTTTTGACTATAAAGAAAATACTGAAAAGCAGGTGTATCACCGTTCCCCTTTATAATAAATGTGTTTCATTGTCATATTCAGCACAGTAGTCATTACAGAGGGTGAATTTAGCACAGTAGTCATTACAGAGGGTGAATTCAGTTTTAGTGCATGTTATTGCTGTGTATCTTACCCACAACTCTGTGTGTGTCTGTCCAAGGAAAGGACTCTGAGCTGAAGTCTAGTGATGTGAATGTACCCTCCCCCTCTCATTCACAGCGGTTGTTGTGCAGGTGAAAGAAGAAGTTCTTGATGATTCAGGGATGGCTTCTGAAGCTCCAGAACTTCCAGTACCAATCAGCTGCATAAAAGATGAGGACATGGAACCAGAAGCTCAAGCAAGCCCTTTGCTGAGTGGTTCTTTCAAAGATGAGGACATGGAGCCAGAAGCCCCAAAGAGTCCTGTTCTAACCGGTTCCTTAAAAGATGAGGACATGGAATCAGAAGCTCCATTAAGCCCCATGCTGAGCAGTTCCGTGAAAGATGAGGAAATGGAACAGGAAGCCTCAAAGAGTCCTGTGCTAATTGGCTGCCTGAAGGATGAGGATGTGGACTAAACTTTTAAGGAAGCAAAGAGACTTCATTATCATGCGCAGTAATATTATGAATGACAGAAAGGCTCACTGAGCTTGTTTGAGGACTTGGGCCGAAGGGCAGATCTGTAGAAAATGGCCATCTCCCACCAAAAAACTGCTTTTGGAAAATGGACATAATCAGATCATGTAAAAAGGCAAATCTATGCTGCTTTTTGAAGCAATACAACAGGAAACAGAAGATGAATTTCTCCACTTGGCTTGAAGGGAGGGGAGAAGATGTATCATCTTCAATATGATTATGTGTATGGATAAGCACTGAAGTTATAAGCACTGGATAAGCACTGAAGTTATTCTGTGCTATGGTGGGGGGCACTATAAGTCTTGCTTCTGCTCTCCATATTAACCTTTGTCATTTTCTGTATTGTGTTGTCAGATTTTGTTTGTTGTTTGCCATTTGACCAAGAGCACACTATTCAGCCAATGAAATTGAACACAAACGAAAATGAACTTTGGTTTGTCAGCTGGTTCGTGCCCATCCCTAATACTACTTGCAGTTAGATGTTCCTCATGGAATGCAGAACAATCACTCAAAGCCATATTGTTGCAATTTTTGATGTCAAGCTACACAGAGTCAGAGTCTGAAATCCATTTTGTTCAAAGATGGAGGCTGTAACTATGCCAATTTATGGCCAAAAAACAAGCTCTGATGCCCCAAGCTGGAGTGCTTGGCATTCAGTGACAATTTAGATATAGTAGGTATCTCAGAAATATGGTGTAATGGGGAAAATCTATGGGGTACAGTCATTCCTGGGTATAAACTATAGGCAAGATAAGGAGGGACGGGTTGGTGGTGGTAGTGTTGCTTTATACATCAAAGACCATAGACTCAAATAAGAAAACATCAGGAATTAACTCCCCAACAGAAGCGTTATGGGTGGAAATACTGGGCCCTACGGGTTACTTAAAAGTGGGGGTGGAATATTGCTCACCTGATCAAACCCCTAAGGCTGATCTTGAGATGGAGAAGGAAATAAGGGAGGTGACTAAAGCAGATAATATTGTTATACTGGGAGACTTGAACTACCCTCACATTGACTTGGTAGGCATTTATTCAAGTCGTGCTGTAGAAATGAGATTCCTAGACATGGAACAGTTGGTCACAGAGCCAACCAGAGGGGTAGTGATCTTGGACTTGGTTCTGAGTGGGTCTGAAGACCTAGTGAGAGATGTAGGAATTGTTATACCAATTGGGAACAGTGACATAATACTGTTAAGCTCAGCATTAAGGTCAATGGAAAGTTACCCCTAAAGTCCAAAACTGTAAAAAATGAGGGGAATAGTAAAAAAGAAGCTGAAGGGGAAATCCAAGAGAGTCAGATTCCTAGAGGATACTTAATTGAAGCCCATTAACGTTTTTGTTTCTGTCTTCGCTGTGGAAAGTGTGGGGCATGTACCCATGCCACAGCTCTATTTTTAAGATTAGAGTCTGAAGAACTGAGCCAAACTGTGACCAGGGATGAGGTTCTAGACCTACTGGGGAAATTAAAATCCAATAAGTCTTCAGGTTCTGATGGCACCCAAGGATTCTTAAGGAAGTCAGATGTGAGATCGTTGATCTTCTAACCCGTGTACTACTAACCCCCTAACCTATCACTGAATTCAGCTGCTGTACCAAAAGACTGGAGAGTAGCAAATGTTACACCAATTTTTTAAAAGGGATCCAGAGCAGAACCAGGAGATTACAGGCCAGTTAGCCTAACGTCTGTCCCAGGCAAATTAGCAGAAACTAATCAAAGATAGCGTTGTTATGCACATAGAGGGACAAAGCCTGTTGAGGGGGAATCAGCATGGCTTTTGCAAAGGGAAGTCCTGGTGGGCCAACCTTTTGAAGTCTTTTGCGAAAGTGAACAAACAGGTAAAAATGGTGACCCAGTAGACATTATATACCTGGACTTTTAAGAGGCTTTCGTCAAGGTACCTCACCAAGGACTCCTGAGTAAACTTAGCAGTCATGGGACAAGAGGACAGGTTCTCTTATGGATTAAAAAATTGTTAAATGACAGGAAGCAAAGGGTAGGAATCAGTGGACAGTTCTCACCATGGAGGGAAGTACTCAATGGGGTCCCACAAGGATCGGTATTGGGGTCGGTACTATTTAACTTATTCATAGATGACCTGAAACTAGGGGTGGGTAGTGTAGTAGTAAAGTTTGCAGATGACACAAAATTATTCAGGATGGTGAAAAGTAAGGCTGACTGTGAAGAGCTCCAAGAGGATCTCAGCAAACTACCTGAGTGGGTGACAATGTGGCAAATGGAGTTCATTAGAACCTAAGAGAAGCCAATGTTGGATCAGGCCAATGGCCCATCCAGTCCAACACTCTGTCACACAGTGGCCAAAAATACCAGGTGATACCAGGAGGTCCAGGAGTGGGGCCAGGACACTAGGAGCCCTCACACTATTGACCATCCCCAAGTAAGTATAAGGTGATGCACACTGGGACAAAAAATCCAAGCTTCAGGTATAGGCTAATGGGGTCTGAACTTGCTGAGACTGAGAGGAAAAAAGATCTTGGGGTTGTAGTGAATAGTTCCATGAAAGGGTCAACCCAGTGTGCTGCAGTGGTGAAAAAGGCAAACTCTTATGTTAGGGATTATTAGGTAAGGGACTGAAAATAAAAATGGCCAATATTGTAATGCCCCCGTATAGATATATGGTGCGGCCTCATTTGGAATTATGTGTACAGTTCTGGTCACATCTCCAAAAGGACATTGCAGAGCTAGGAAAGTACACAGGAGGACAACCAAGATGATGGGGTTTGAAGCACCTTTCCTATTAGGAAATACTGATGAGTCTGGGACTTCTCAGTTTAGAAAAGAAACAACTGGGGGGGAGGGGCTTGGGGGAGGTTTATAAAATTATGCATGGGGTGGAGAGAGTTGCCAAAGATAAATTGTTCTCCCTCTCCCAAAATACTAGAACATCAACTCAGGATGGACAAAAGGAACTACTCAGAAAGTGATTAAAATGTGGAATTCTCTGCCAGAGGATGTAGCGATGGCCACAGGAATAAACAGCTTTAAAAGAGGATTAGATAGATTCATGGAGGGTAAGTTTATCAATGACTACTAGCCATGGTGAGTAAGGGGAACCCACACATTCAGAGGCACTAATCCTCTGAATCCCAGAGCCAGGAGGCAACATCAGGGGGAGGCCTCAGCCTCTGTGCCCTGTTGTGGGCCATCCAGAGGAACTGGTTGGCCTCTGTGTGAGACAGGATGCTGGACTAGATGGACTATTGGTCTGATCCAGCAGGGCTTTTATGTTTTTAAGCACTTGCAATGGAAAAGGCCTGTGTGTGCTTGGAGTATCTTAGAGTGGGAAGCCTCTGCATGTACCAAGTTCTGGGTGAACAAAATATGACTACAAAGAGATGGGGGGAAACAGTGAAACTACTTCCTCTCACTATGAACTATGTTAAGTTTTGACAAGAAAAGGTAGACATTTTGAGATGTACAGTGCAAGCTCAGAGTAAATCTTACCAGTAAATTCACTCAATGGAGAATCAGATTGCACAGAAAAGCAGGGGTTTTTTTTAGAAAAAAGCTGCTTGTTAAAGAGAATCTGGGAGATCAGGAGTTAATCTTCCCTGGAGTGGAAAACTTATTTGATTGGGTGCTCTCCACATTCTCTGATTGGCCAGCATCAGCTGAGAGCAAGTATAACATCAACTGTTCTGGAGGGCAAGGGGTCTTTCTTCTATAGAGAGAAGAGACTCCTTTGCCCTGACAGTATTAGAACTACTGAGGGAGAATTGCATTTCTTAGTCAAGAAACCTAACAACAACAAAAGACTGCTTTACACAGACAACAGGTACTGGAAGAGAGATTTGGCAAGGGTGACTGGGGTGTTAGACTGTAACTCCCAATCAAGCCAAACAGAAAAGGGTTCTTGCTTTTTAGGGAAAAGAATTATTCCTGCCAGTTAAAACAGTTTGTGCTCTGAGGAGAACCTGGGTTTGTGGTAAAGGGGAATAAGCTTTAGTAACCTCAGGAGTTTGTGAAAAGCTACAATTTTCTGAAGGGAGAAACGATTTTCTAAGGGGAGAAATCTAGAAACTCTTAAGAAAGAGCTATTCTCCAGGGAACTCTATTAAGATTTTGTGTAATTGCTGAAATATACTGAGGAAAGTACCTCTCGTGGAAAAGAGCTAGAAATCTCTAAAAAGAAGCTACAACAACACTCTCTTGTATGTTTTTAGCTTTCAGTTCTGTACATATTATAAAGTTTAACTTCAGAATTTCTAAGCCTTGACTGTGTGTGTGTGTATAATTTCCCTGCCTGCTAAATAAAATACTCTGTTTTGAAAGTCATCCTGCCTCAAGTGCCATTTTAAAAGGGTTTTAAAACAAGACAACTCCTGTATTTCCCTCAAGTTCCTGTGCTGGGTCAGAAGCAATACTCCCTCTAAGCTGTGGAGCCTTATGAGCAGAAATTCTACTTTGTGAGCTACTGGCATTAAAGTTGTGAGTGAGCGATCTGGCTACTGCATAAATCAGTTTGCTCTGGAGCCATCCTTCCTGAGCTAAGACAAAAATGTGTGAGCTGGAGGCTAAAAAACTGAGCTAGATCACACTAACTCAGCTTAGAGGGAACACTGGTCAGAAGCCTAAGCAAATATGCTTCTGATGCAATAACAGTGGAAGTTCAAGCATCCTGGTGGTCTTCCTTCCGGTTGGCATCTTGATTGATCCAGACAGTCAGTCTATTTGTTGCTAGTTCCACCCAGATGAGAGGCTATGGAGGAGAGTTGGGTTGATGATTATCCAAAACTGTAGGCCAGCCCATGCTTCCCAAGCTCTTGTCATGGTCTGTTGGACCTAGGACTAGTATGGTGGCTGCACTCAACCTTTTTTCAAGGAATTGGTACATACTTGTGGCACAGGAAGACTTCTAAGAGAGTGTATGATGCTATACAAACTCATCCCCCTCTTCACCCTCCTTGTGAATTTTTGGGAGTTTTTGATGTTTAGTTGGTTACTTCCTTCAAAATAAAGTGGGTACTTTTAATTAAGGCTGAAAATAAATGTAGAAGAAGAAGAGTTGGTTTTTATACCTTGCTTTTCTCTACCATAAGGAGTCAAAAGCAGTTTACAATTGCCTTTCCCTTCCTCTCCCCACAATAGGCACCTTGTCAGGTAGGTGGAGCTGAGAGAATTCTGAGAGAACTGTGACTGACCCAAGGTCACCCAGCAGGCTTCATGTGGAGGAATGAGGAATTCAAACCCCATTTTCCAGGTTGGAGTCCACTGCTCTTAACCGCTACACCATGCTGGTAAATGTGTATTGACTATAGCTGCACCTGTGGCTCTTGCTTATCAGCTTTATTATTCATTATACATTTATAACATAAAATGTAGCAGTCGTGCATAAACTAAGAACAGGCACACTGGTAAAGGTTCTATACTTATTTGTTACAAATAGGGAACAGGACTAAATCCATGTGATGTCTTCCATTTATTTCAGCCCTGGATTTTGTTTCCAACCATGTGCATAACTGGTAGGTTAGACAAGCATAATATAGGCTGATTAGAAGACATTTGAAATCTGTCTCAATGTTGTAGCAGCTACCTGAGTAATTCTTTTCTAGGCCATTACCCAGAAGGATTGGCAGGGGATTTATCAATGGAAGTTAATTTCCTGATAGCTGGGAATCTGTGTACTTGAGTCATTTAGCCCCCACAGCCTGCAGAAGATCACACATTTCTCTCTGGAGGGAGGGGTGTGAAGTGCACCAGTGTGGTAAACGAGCCAGACTAGATTTTGGCTGAGGTTCACATGCTTGTTTCTGTAGAAAGCTGAAAATGAGGGGATCTAGTTATTACAGAAAATCCTTCATAAAGATAAGAAGAGCT